AACGTAATTTAACAAAGCAATACAGAGCAATTTAAAATATGATAAGATAGGAGTACCTGTTGGAAATTTCTGCGTAACAGTAGAAGAATACAAAAATATAATGACCTCTTTTGGATACATTTCATACATTAACGAATACACTCGTTTACCTAGTCGAACATGCTTGGATCATTTTTATGTATCTAATCGCAACACGCTTGAAGCTAAATCATATATTTTTAGATATAATATTACAGATCACTGTCCCATAGCCCTTACGTTGGAAATAGAACAAAACAGCATTAAGATAAAACATCAATTAAAGTACAAATATTACATAAATTATCCATTACTAAAAAATGCTTTAATATTGGAAAAATGGGAACAGGTATACAATGAAACGGAAGTTGATAATATAACTCTAAAATTTATTAATACTCTTAAATATCACATTAATCAAAATACACAAAAAGTAAAAATAAAACAAAAAATAAAAATATTACAAAATTGGATGAATCCTACATTAGTAAAATTAATTAATGAAAAAAATAAATTGTACAAATTAACCTTAAAACATCCCGATAATTTAGAAACAAAAAGGCAATACAACGTGCACAAAAATAATATAAATAAATTAGTTAAAAAAGCAAAAAAGGACTATTATAGAAAAATCATCCAAAAAAATCAAAATTCCTCCAAATCTTTGTGGGAGTGCATTAACAAGGTTTGCGGCAAAACGGCACCTAAAAAAACTATTGAAAAAATTAAATTAAATGGAACTGAAATTACTGACAAATTGAATATTGCAAATGAATTTAATACATACTACTGTGAACTAGGCTTAAATTTAGCTGAAAAAATACCAAAAGTAACAAATTATACAGAAAATATAAATTGCTTAGAAAGTACTATGTTCCTTAGCCCTACTGATGAGGTTGAGGTCATTAATACAATTAAAGATTTGAAACTTAAGAAGTCACCAGGCCTCGATTGTATAAGGTCTGAAACCTTAAGGGAAATATCTAATGAGATTGCAAGTCCACTAACCTACTTAATAAATAAATGTTTTAGTACAGGCTCTTTTCCGAAAATTCTGAAAAATGGTCTAGTTAAACCACTTTATAAAAGTGGAAAAAAAACGGAAATGGTTAATTACAGGCCTATATCACTGGTGTCAAATATTTCGAAAATAATAGAAAAAATAATAAAAATTAGATTTTGTTCCTTCTTAAAAAAATATAAAATTTTATCCAATCGGCAGTATGGCTTCAGAGAATCTAGGTCGACTGAAGATGCGATATATGAGTTAACTTCTCTTATTTATGATTCGCTTGATAATAATATTCCTGCTGTGTGTATCTTCCTAGATCTCTCTAAAGCATTTGATACCGTTTGCCACAAATCGTTATTAAATAAATTAGAGAAGTATGGTATAAGAGGAAATACCTACAAACTCATTGAAAGTTATTTATCAGATAGGGATCAAATAGTAGAAATCGATGGAGTAATGAGCACACCGCAAACAATTACTTACGGTGTACCTCAAGGAACCGTTCTTGGTCCACTTCTGTTCCTTTTATATATTAATAGTATGCTTTCCTTGAATATTCAGGGTGAGCTCATCAGTTTTGCAGATGACACTGTAGTATTTTATAATTCATCCAACTGGCAAGATCTAAAAAATAAAATAGAAAATGATTTTCCTTTTATTACTAAATGGTTACAATTCAATAAATTAACGCTTAACTCTAGTAAAACAAACTACTTACTTTTTTCATCCTACCTAACTGGGTTACCTAACTTGGGGCCACTGAACATCGGGACGACTAACCACATTGTAGAAGCAGAAAAAGTAAAATACCTCGGTATTACAATTGATCGTCATATGAGATGGGATCTACAATGTAAGGAAATAGTAAAAAAAATAAGAGGTCATTTGCCAAAATTTAGGTATTTAAAGGAAATTCTTGAAGTTGAGGAATTAAAAGTCTTGTATTTCTCACTGGTTGAGTCACTGCTTTCTTATGGTATTTTAGGGTGGGGTGGAGTAAATGACTGTTTCTTAAATAGTGTTCATATTGTACAAAAATGGCTTTTAAGAATCATATTCCAAAAAAATATTTTATTTTCCTCAGATCAATTATATCTAGATGCCCAAGTAAAAGATGTACGACAAATTTTCGTTCAAAAAATATTGTTTTTTATATTTCAAAATAAAATAAAATTTGTACATCATGAACACTCTTATAATACTAGGAGATATGAAGGGATCGTTTTCCCACGAAGTGAAAAAACTATCGGGAAAAGAAATACTAACTATTTAGCCCCAAGAATTTACGTGCTGTTATCTAATGATATAAAAAACTCAAAAAGTTTTAATTTATATAAAAATCGAATTAAAAAATGGATTATGGAAACAGAGAGACGATTTTTTACCGATATAGTAAATCAAACTCTACAGTGACAAAAGTAGCCATTTCAAGAATATGTGTCTGCAAGATTATGTGTCTGATATTTTAATTTTAATTTTAACTTACCTCTATTTTGTCCTTATACCCCGAATGTGTCTTAAACTGGATTTGACAATATATTTGTTTTTTCACTGGGTTTGACAAAAACCCTGTTTGTGTCGCCCAAAAAAGGCAAAACAAACTGTATTAAGGTCACAATACAAGTAGTTCTAAAAACTACTTCTGTGGCTTAACTTTGTTTATTCACCCTCTACTTAGTATGTATTATTTTAATGGGGTAGTTACTAAGTCTTTTTAATAATATGTTACTTGTATTTATCCTAACTTTTATGTATCTATCCTTATATTTATATTTACTATTGAATTTATGTACTGTACTGAATTGAATTGAATTGAATAAACATTATTATTATTATTATTATTATTATTATTATTATTATTATTATTATTATTATTATTATTATTATTATTATTATTATTATTATTATTATTATTATTATTATTATTATTATTATTATTATTATTATTATTATTATTATTATTATTATTATTATTATTATTATTATTATTATTATTATTATTATTATTATTATTATTATTATTATTATTATTATTATTATTATTATTATTATTATTATTATTATTATTATTATTATTATTATTATTATTATTATTATTATTATTATTATTATTATTATTATTATTATTATTATTATTATTATTATTATTATTATTATTATTATTATTATTATTATTATTATTATTATTATTATTATTATTATTATTATTATTATTATTATTATTATTATTATTATTATTATTATTATTATTATTATTATTATTATTATTATTATTATTATTATTATTATTATTATTATTATTATTATTATTATTATTATTATTATTATTATTATTATTATTATTATTATTATTATTATTATTATTATTATTATTATTATTATTATTATTATTATTATTATTATTATTATTATTATTATTATTATTATTATTATTATTATTATTATTATTATTATTATTATTATTATTATTATTATTATTATTATTATTATTATTATTATTATTATTATTATTATTATTATTATTATTATTATTATTATTATTATTATTATTATTATTATTATTATTATTATTATTATTATTATTATTATTATTATTATTATTATTATTATTATTATTATTATTATTATTATCTTAAGCTCAGAAAGAGTTAATCTAGATATTAGTAAATCGTTGGATATCTCCTTGTAAGGTATATTATATACCATTTAAATTTAATGTTCATTGAACTTTTTCTAGTAAGACAGTATAAATGTTATGCACGGGATTCCAAACAACAGAACACTATTTAAGTTTCGACCGTACAAAGCTAATATATAGAATTTTTATGCTGAATCTGCTTTGAAATTCTTTACAGTTTCGTATAACAAACCCTAAGCTCCTGTTAGCAGCAAATAACATTGACCATGTTCATCGCTGTCAAACATGTTTTAAAAGCAAAGGAGGTTATGTGTATTGTTTTCCTTATTATTTTTTAATAAGTTAAGAGTTTATTTGTAGAGTTAATTAGAGTTTATATAGTACCCTTCTGTAAGTGGTTTTGACAATTTTACGGCGAAAAAACCTACAACTTGTATTATTTTGGGTTGTAAAGTCACGATGTTTAATTTTTTATTGCGTCCATGGATCTTGAATTCTACATACTTAGACCACGATGAAAGACAATAAGTGTTTCAACTTCCCTAAAATCCCATGTAAAAACAAAAGACGATATGGCACCAAACACAACGTAGTTCCAAAAAAATTCACCAGAGGTCGTTAAAAGGTGACGTACCCGTTTGATCATTATAAGAGCTAGATAAAGTATATTTTAACATCACATGTATCCAACTTCAAGATTTGGCCATCAGATGATTGGTTAATCAGTTGACAGGTTATTGTACTAATGTTCACGCAGCATGACATATATTATATTTACGAACAAATATAATTATATTTTATTTATAACTCTAATAATTTTGCAATATTATTTATTAAAGTTGAACCACCCGCCCCCACAGGTCGCTGCAAGCAAACTTGTTGCCAAATTTCTATAAAGACACGGCAACTCTTAATAATCCATCTTCCATGGTTCAGCGTTACAACATGTTTGACGACGATGAACATGGCCATTGTTTCAATATGTTTAACGAAATTTTGTTTAGGGTCAAAATACACTCTGAGATCTCTCATAAATTCAGGTCGATTTAGAACAACGTTTTGTTGTTTATAATCAAAAATTGTAGGTGTTTTTTAGTAAAGTCACTACTGAACATTTCTCAAAATTGCAACACTGGTGATGAAGCAGGAGAATAGGAGAGTGTAGGAGCGCTCTCATGAGTTCGAGAATAGGTGAATACTTTTTGTAATATAATGAAGGGTGAACTTAGTTTTAAAAGTGTTAAGTTTACTTTCTTATGTATAATAATATCATACAGACAAATTCATGGTTTGCTGTAATGCAAATAAATAAAAGAAACTTTTATACATATACCTATCTTTATTTTTATCTATTTAAACCAACAAAATACAAATTAATACATTTAATCAACCGTAGTTTAATCTTCCTTAGGTGGTAATTTCAATTTTTTCATCATTACCACTTTCATCTATCTCCGATTTATCATCATTACTGGTAACTTCCGCATGATCTTCATTATCTTTAATTTCCTTTCGCTTAAGTTTATGAATTAGTTGTTCCGCCAATGTCGCTAACTAAAGAATAAATTAAAGTTAGAAAATTGTTTAATTAAGTTATTAAATATAGATTATGGTAGATAAAAAATGTACATAATAAAAATGACGACGTATTAGCAAGAATCCTGGAAGAAAATCACAGTAGAATACAAGTGAGTCGCTAAGTTTCAGATTCTAGAAACAAATACTGATGAAATGAAAAATTTTCATATCTGCAAATTTATTTTTAATAGGTATATCGCAGTAAGACTTTATCCTACTGAGTAAATTAGTGACAGTGACCTATTCGGTCTCCAGATTTAACGCCTTTGTATTTGTTTTTATAGGGAAACTTAAAATATAAGAGATATGTGACCCAATCAGGTGACATGATCAAAATTAATTAGGAATCATAATCCAAAATTTAACTATAGAAGAATTATTTCAAATTAAAATTAAATGTTCTCAGTCCTATAATAAATTAGATAAATAATTTTTCTTATACAATATAAAAGGAAATTTTTTTTAAAAAAATTATTTTAAATAAATGTTTTTAGAAATTTTCAAAATTAAAAATTCACAATGTTTTTTAGCATTACTAAAATACGTACGTAAATGCATTGTATAAATAATCTTTGAGAACTTATAAGAGAGTTTTGTAATTAACACTTAAATTTCTTTATAATAGTTTTGTTATAGATTTACTATGGAATTAAAATGTTTTATAAAGTTGAGCTGCATTAAATAGTAGGTATTGTAGAGTCCTAATAACAATAACCTTTATAATACTTTATTGTTTCTTGGGGAGTCCAATTATTATTTATAAAGAGTAGTTCTTTTTGAATATGGTCTTTGAATTAAAATTTTCTCATGAGCTTGTTTTAGGACATTCTCCCATGTTGTTTTTCTTCAAACCCAGTCATTTATATGCAACCTCGTACTATACTTTTGAATTAACTTGCTTGCATGTTCATAACAAAAAGCTAAGAAGTAACAGTTTTTTTGAAATAATGCAAAGGAAACTTCTTGACCTACTCACAGAACTAATTTTAAGTTTACTGTATAAAAAAGGAATGAAAATAGAGACGAGACAGAAGTTGGGTTTCAGTTCCAATTTCTCTATGTCTCCGTTACACTGTTTCTGCCTCCAAAAACAATTTAAGGATTGATGAGCGTTCTATTTACTAACGAAATGACTGATGGGTAGTTTCAACTTTTTTATTTTTTTTTAATGGATTTGAAAGTGGAAAGTTATATTTGAGGGGTATAGTTTCAAAGTGGACAATCTCCATATTTTATGAAAAATAAGATAGATGTCGCATTATATAGAATTTGTAGCCATGAATCGAAATAATTAATAATTTCTTTTCAAAACAGATAATCTCCAACGAATTTTGATGGCAGAAAATTAGATTTAAATTAAAAACGTACAATCTCCGTTGATAATTAAGTTTAAAACCGTACAATCTCCAATCCGATTTTAAAAATCAAAGTGTACAATCTCCAATGGGTTTTTGTTGTTAGTTTTGAATTATTTCAAAACGTGCAAACTCCTGTACAGACTTGTAAATAATATTTCGCGCTAAAACCAGTCTGATTTTACGTTTCTAAGTTAGTTGCATGTGATTCGTGAAGAAATAAAGTTTGTTTACTAGTTTTTATCAATTTTTCACGAGTTTTTTAAAGTAATAATGGAGGTGAACGTTACTCTAGTAACCAGTAATAAAGCAAGAAAAAGACAACGTATTACGGCGACGTGGAAAAGAACTTAGCAAAAGGTAAGTTTGATAGAAGGTTTTTGTATATCTTCCTGCAAATATGGGTTTGTTTTAGATATAGTCCACATTCGCTTCCAGTTTATCCGAAATGTGGACATAAAACTGGTGCTTTTCAATGTACCTTACTGACAATGGGAGAAATAAGAAATAAAATGTTATGAGAAAAAAGAGAAAATATTTCAAGATAATTTTTTGCTTAAATACCTGGATTCTTCTTTTAAGTCAATGTGGATTGTGTATGTGAAGGAAAGTGAAAACGTTCTAGTAAAAGAAAGATATTTCAGGAATATGTTTAATACAAAATACAACCTTGGTTTTGGTTCTGCTAGAACCGATGTTTGTTCGACATGCTTACAGTTAACAGAGAAAATAAAAGCTTGCTCTGATAAGGATATCAAAGCCAACTTAATGATCCAGAAAAGGGTACATTCATTGAAATCTAAAGCATTTTTTCGCCTGTTCAGAGAAAGGGATGAAGGAATCGAAATTTTTTGGTTTGACTGTCAGAAAAATCAAATATTACCTAAGATTCTGGATCAACAGGCCTATTAATCAAGGAAATTTTATATTTACAATTTCACCGTTGTAAAGGGTACTTCTAAAAGTAATTTAAATCCATTTACTGTCACTTCTTTCTGTTGGACCGAAAACGAGTACAAGAAGGGTTCGAACGAGATTGTCTCCTGCATTTGTCACATTCTTGTGTGTTGTTACTGAATTTCTAGACAAGATAAAATTAAAAAAATTGAAGTAGTATTCCTAGTTAAAAGACACTCCTTTATGCCCTCAGACAGGGTTTTTGGGCATATTGAAAATACTATTAAAAAAAAAAGAAATAATTCTGGAAGCGGACGAATATCTTGAAATATTTTCAAAGTATGGTACTGTTATCAGGGTTAGAGAAGTAGTTGAAATATACGATTGGTGAAATGAAACTAGTAAGTACATTAGGCCTCCAGGCAAATAGCATTCTGCTTTCTCAAAAATGAAGATAATAATGTTAACAAAAAGCTCTAAAGGCACAGTACTAATCCGCGGCGAAATAGCCTATAATTCGGATTCAGGTGTGGGAAAACCAGTAACAAAAAAGACTAATAGTATTAAAAATATGAAACCTATACAAATTCCGAAACAAAATGTGGTCAACAACAACAAAAAGGGTGATGTTAATAATTTATTAGTGTTTCATTTCGCAGATGAGTGGAAAAATTATCCACGTCTAAGTTTCTACAAATTGGCCGTTTTCAGACTTTTGGGCCACTTTGTATAAAATTATAGAGAGTGGTATTGAAGAAACATGGATGATAATTTTGGAAAAAAATTATATCCCATAAATCCCATAAAGAACAAATTATTTCTGTGAAACCTTTCGTAAATTTCTATAAAATAGGAATAAATTAGTTTAGACGTAGATACATGCGTCTTTTGTCAAAAGAAAATTGAAAAAGAAAGTTTTATTGTAAGTTATGACTACAAAAATAGAACAGAAGATGAAGCATATTTCGATACTACCTATTTTACGCCAAGTAAAAAATATGTGACTTTACGAAAGGGTTTTGAAAACAAAAAGATTCTGAACATTTCTACAATTAAAGATCTTAGCGAGAAAAGATTATATTCTTCAAAATGTTCTCTTTAACAGATATTGAAAGCGGTATTTGTACCTACCTTATGCTAGAAAATAAATATATTTTTATGTCTAGGACCAGAGATATTTGATTGCGACTATTTTCCCCTTTGGGTTGAAAAACACATTATTTAATCTTGAAAGTCGTATTTCTTTAGGACAGAGTAAAGTGGTATTTGTACCCAATTTATGCTAAAGAAAAAAATATGTTTCTGTCTAGGAGCGGAGATATTTGATTCCTATTAAATAATCGGAAAATTCCCTTTGGGGTTGATTGACGCCCTATTTGACCTTGCAAGTCGTTCTCTTTAAGAGATATTGAAAGTGGTATTTGTACCTAGCTTGTATTAGAAAATAAATATGTTTTTATACTTAGGAACAGAGATAGTTTATTGCGATTATTTTCTGAAATTATATTGCAACAGGTCCAGATATTTAAAATTTTACATCGTATTCTTTCACACTGAAAAATTACGCTGTATCGCCAGACAAGACCGACACCCCTCCTTATTACCAGAAGTGCATCGGTTGCCCTTTGTGCAACTGAAGGTCACTGCTCCAAGGAGACTCCTTTGCGCCTTTACACACAGCGGTGATACTTTGTCAATCTCTCCGTTAGAGTGGGCTATAATGCGGTTATTGTAAAACCTTCACGGCTACTTACAAAAATAAAATCATTTCAAAATAATACAGAAACTCTAAAAAACAACAAGTGAAAAGAAGCTGAAAAACGAAAATCCTGATTTATTTGAGCGCTTCAGTCTTGGAGATTATATTATAAAATACGTGTCTTATCTCATCGATTTTTCATTCGTCTTCGTGAAGTTGATATCCTGTTCCAATAACTGATAAGGTGGAAGAGTGTGATTTTTGTAAAGAATATTATAGATAACGGAATCCTGAAGCGTGAGGTTGTTTTGTTAAGACTTTAATATTGTGCTTTTATTTTTTTAGTTAAATTGAAAAAAGCCGTGTCTTGATTTTTGTATGACACTAGAAAATTAAGAATAATTAATAATTTTTAGTATATTGGGTGAGGCTTTGATAACAATAGAAATTAAAATCTCTTTAAGTAGATTTTTTTTAAAAAACGAAGAAACAGGGTCCTGTATTTGTAAGCCGGAGAGGATGGATTTCCCTTACAACATTTAGGCTTCATTAAGTCCACTGTGCAACTTTCTGAACTGACAGGCGTCAGATTTAAGACTTTATTTTTCCTCTTTCCTAAATACCATTTACACATTTTCAAACTTTTGTCGGACTTGGCATCTACCGGCTTATTTCTAATTGGCTCAAAAAATCGCCCGATATAAAACAGTTCACTAAACTGTTACACAGATGGACTTGTAATAATATTCGTTGACCTTAAGAATTTCATGGATTCCTGTATAATATGAGAAATGAAATATTTACTGGTACTGAATGTATGTATACAATGCAGACCTGAGCGATTTTATATTTTGTATTAGAAGAATTTTCCTCCCCTCCTTTGTAATTTAATATTCGTAATCTTAGATGATGTAAACCAAACGATATAAATACACTTTTAATCAAAATTGACTTCAATAAATAAATAGGTACCTCTTCAGGACAAAAAGCATTATTTTCAATTAGCCTTTCGTAACGTTCCATCAGACCTATAGCTTCTTCGTCTGACCCTATCAACCAACAACAAACGGCCATGTTGACTACAATGTAAAGATCGTCTGATGATAGGCTTAGCGCCAGCCGAAACGCCTTCACCGCGTTATCTGGGTCCTTAAGTTCCAGTAATGCAACTAAAAAAATATATTTAATCAGTAATTAATTAATAAATTAATTAATTTTAAAAGATAAAATTATTAACAAAAATATCGGATTCATTCTAGTAGCTAAACCCGGGGGTGTTTTTTAAATATATTTACAAAGTTTTTCATTATAAATTACCTACTTTTATAATTAATATTGTATTAATATGTATTTTGCATTAATTATGCTGTAATAATTCATTATTCTCTAATAATTATTCTGTAATAATTGCTCTGTATTAATTATTTTGTATTAATTATTTCGTATTAATTATTCTGTATTAATTATTCTGTATTAATTATTCTGTATTAATTATACCGTAATAATTATTCCGTTAAAATTATTTTGTATTAATTATTCTATATTAAATATTATGCATTAATTAATCTGTAATAATTAATTATTTTGTAATAATGAATTATTTTGTATTAATTATTCTCTATCAATTAATATGTATTAATTGTTCTGTAATAATTATTCTGTATTAATTATTCTGTTGCGTCAATAATACAATTATTAATTAGTATAATCCTTTATCGCGTATAAATGCTCAAGTCGGCTATGTATTGTGTACGAGGTACACAGTGTCCAGCAAGCAGTCGCTTCTAATAATCATTAGTTCTAGGTATACCGCTAGAAAATCGTAAGTTTATGGACACCCTGAACGGCCGATTCCAGATCCTTCTACAGATAAACACAGGTGAGTCTATTTGAGCCATCGAATATTCTTTTCAACCCTCTAACCGCCACATATTCTGTAATAATTATTATATATTATTTATTCCGTAATAATTATTCTGTATTAATTATTCTACATTAATTATTCTGTATTAATTAGTATTTATTCATTATTCTGTAATAATTATATTGTATTAGTAATTCTGTATTAATTATTGTTGTATATTAATTATTTTATATTAATTATTCTGTATTAATTATACGTAATAATTATTCAGTGTAAATTATTCTTTAATAATTATTCCGTATTTATTATTTTCTATTCACTATTTCGTATTATGATTCTGAATTACTTATTCTATATTAATTATTTTGTATTAATTTTTCTGTAATAATTATTCTGAATTAATCAATCTGTATTAATAACTCTAAAATTTTTTTATTAATAATTATTTTATTTTAATAAATTTATTTATTCTGTATTAATTATTTTGTATTAATTATTATATATTAATTATGCTTTACTAATTATTATGTATTAATTATTCTATATTAGTTATTTTCTATTATTATGTATTAATTATTCTGTATTAGTCCACTTTTCCCGTTATACGACAATTTTGCATTACTCATGATCGAAAAAATCACGGGACATAGAACATATTTTTTTATCTCTCTCTTATCCTCGCCTTACAACTGTTGGGTTGGCTACGACGTTTACCTCCCTTTTATCGCTACTTTAAACAAATGTCACCTAGTCCTTATAGTAGGGAAGCCCGTGTTTTATGACATTTTATGAACAGGCTTTTTTAAAACGTCATCGAGGGCTCCATCGCTTCAGGGCCTAACAATGTATTCCTATGTTCTACAAGGTAAGAATTAACGAAATATTTGTAATTGTCTATAATTATTCTGTATTAATTAATTATTGTCTATTAATTATGCTGTATTAATTATTCTGTAATAATTATGTATTAATTATTCTGTATTAATTATCATATATTAATTATTCTGTATTAATTATTCTGTAATTATTACTATGTATTATTAATTATTATGTACTAATTATCCTGTATTAATTATTTTGTATTAATTCTGTATTAATTGTTCTGTAATAATTCTCTATTAATAAATTCTATATTCTGTATTATGAAGTTTGTGCTGAAAATAGATAATGTACATCTGGGTATAGAAATAATTTTCCCTACCTCCCAAGACAGTAAAACAATCAGCCATATCTGGTCGAAGATTTACCGCAGCACAGGAGTAGTTAAACGCGGAAGCCGGTTGCAGTGTTGCCAAGTGACAAAGTCCCAAGTTGAAAAGAACTCTCCAGTTTAAAGGTTGTAACCATAAAGCTCGTTTCAGACAACTTATTGCCTGAAAAATAAATATTGTGTTATTAAATTTTACGGTGCAAGTGTGTTGTAAGTTTTCTCCTATATCTTGCAAGAGGAAAATTATTACGCAATATTATTTTAATACGGTGGAAGTTTGTCGGGATCAGGGATGGGGACGTCGCGTGAAATAAGTAACATCACTTTCGCTATATTGATATGAAATTTTAACACTTGTGGGTGTGTGTGGGTTTTATAACGTTGTTTTTATTTTATCTACAGAATAAAAATTTATTATTAGTTAAAATAATGGTACAATATGCAATTTCACAGCTAAAAAGAACCACAGATAACGTATTTACAGGAAGGCGGACATGGTTGCATAGTTTCTCGAGTGGCAAATTATAGACATTTCTTTATAAGCTCACAATAATTTACTAGAACGTACTTATGTTACCAGAGCATTTATTTATAAGGTTACTCTGGTGACGTCATATGTAGCTACATGTAACGAGATATTTCTTTATAAGCTTACTAGAATGTAATAAATAATAACTAAAATATCCTGAAATTTCTAAAATTCAAATTCCGTTCAGAAATTTCCAAACTTAAAATAAAATTTGACATATGACATTCATTCAATAATAGGGTTACCACGGTATGTGTGACGTCACCACAATAACCACAATACTATAACTAAGTATGTTGTAGTAAGCTTATAAAGAAATATCTTATGTTTTGCTCTTAGAATACTTATTCTAAGGTTTTACTGCATATGTTTTCCTCCTTGAATGATAGATGGTGCAATGCATATTATAGTTAATTCGATAGCCCATATTACAAGCATAGCTCATATTTGTACCTTCTCCTCTATTATCATGTATTTACCTATAAACAATATTAGCAGTGTATTCATTTGAAACCTATTTTTTATAAATATCGTTTATTACATTTGAATAAAAAAATAGCAGAATTAATTTTTTGTAAAATTAAATTTTATGTTTTCTTTAAATTTGTCCTTGGAAAAATATTTACAGAATGTTCCTTTGGATTCTGATGAAAAAACTATTCGATACGCCCATGGAGATCACAAATGTCAAACGTTCGTATATAATGGCTTCAAATAAAGCCTATGTTAAACGGCGTCCGTTGCGTATCTATACTTCATTTGTTTATCTAAGATCACTGCCTACTTTAGACATTTTTTTTGTTGATAATTTTTTATATGGTATGTATTATCAGATATTAATGACGTACGTACGCGTCAAAAAAACGTTGATCCAAGACCCAAGTATATCTCATAATCGATAAAATAATTAACATATTTTGGTTGACTGGATAAGAAAATAAACATGATTCTAATTGACGTACCCTTTTAATAACACGATCTAAAAGGGTTATTTTTAATCCTTTATGTACCTACTAAACGTTTCAGTACATTTGCTTGCTTTTCCTATTACCACTGACATAAATTCGTTTGGTTTCAAAACATAAAAATGTTTCATATTTACATAGATTTTTAATTATTTGTCAATTTGTCCTTTGTAATGGTAACGAATTAGTAGAGCTTTTTTTATGGATAAAAAAAGAGACAACCCCGCAGCGTTGCTAATATTAGAAAAATAATTTGTCTGATATTTATGGGGGGTAATACCATATAACCTCAGATTTTTTGAAATTGAACTAGGGCTGTTCTGACAGATCAAATGAAAGTAAGAAAAACAGTTTAAAAATATTAGTCTAAAAAACTCGAATGGTAATATTTAAATTTAATTAAATTTTCTTTAGCACTGAAACAGAATAACAATAAATATTAAAAATGAATTTTTAGAAAGAACAATAAAATTGTTAAAAACACAGATATTATTTGCTGACGTTGACTGCATTATAACACGAAATCCTATCTGTTTTTTTAATCAAAATACAATTTTTTTTGTTCTAGATAATTATTGAATGAAAAATACGATTTTGCCGAGTGGTCACAAGTAATTTTAGTTCAAATTTAAATTAATAATTATTTCGAACAATTTCGTTCACTTGTTTTGAAGATAAAATATAATTCATTTAAAAAAGAGATATGTAAAGAACTTAGGGCTGTTCTACCGCTTACCGTTTGGTCAAAGTTGAGAGGTACCTCATCCATTTCATAGAATAGTTATCTCTGTACGCAACCCTCTCTTTGTTTTTGTAAAGACAATTGTTCGTATAATAATTATATCTTTGTTCGTTCAGTTTAATGGGACGCCTTTCTAGGTATTCACCTCCACCTGAAACGCGGGCTGGCCAAATTTGTCTGTATATTGTAACAACTACCTATTGTGTTGATAGTAATTTCTTTGCAGATAATATTTTTATTTATTATTTAGACGACGAATTCGAAAGTTTTCTTTCTTATTGATTGATTAACGCTTTTTGAGTGTCATCTAGTGGAATTATTTTTTAAATAAATGATTCACTACATTTAAATTGATTTTATTTATATTCTACGGTGAAATAGTAAAGGATTTTTATACATAAAATTATTAATCGTATTTTTTGTAAATAAACATTATTGTTATTATTACTAATATTCGATTATATACACTTAGTATCCGCGCGAAAGCTTTGTATGGCTTTATTTATGGTATATTTAAAGTGAAAAACTGATTTTTGGGAAGTGCTTTAATATACAGTGGTACATAATATAAAATATTTGTTTTCTTAAACAAAATCGCATCAATCCCACAATTAATTTGTTGTGTGGACAAAATTTTTTTTGTAAACTATAAACTCTACGCACAAATTGTTTTGGGATAGGTCGTTACTAACAAACCGTACTATAGTCCACAACAGGCAAGACATCATCATCGTTGATAAATCAAGAAAAATAGTTTTTTTAATTGACATAGGAATCCCAAATGGTCACAATATCTTGATTTACAAAGCTGAGAAGGAAGCAAAGTACCAGAGACTTGGGCAGGAAATTCAACAAATGTGGCGCCAGGAGAGTTATATTTACATATAATTTAAAAATACACTATGATGCCTTGAGGCGCGGTTTAAATTTATCTGTAAATCTTTATTTTATATTTTTAAGAACTGACAGTGGCTTAAAGTTTAAAAAAATCTAAACATTTTTTGCTTCAATTGATTAAATATATTGACCGAGTTTGATTGATTTATGATTAATTAGTAATATTATTATTATTATTATTATTATTATTATTATTATTATTATTATTATTATTATTATTATTATTATTATTATTATTATTATTATTATTATTATTATTATTATTATTATTATTATTATTATTATTATTATTATTATTATTATTATTATTATTATTATTATTATTATTATTATTATTATTATTATTATTATTATTATTATTATTATTATTATTATTATTATTATTATTATTATTATTATTATTATTATTATTATTATTATTATTATTATTATTATTATTATTATTATTATTATTATTATTATTATTATTATTATTATTATTATTATTATTATTATTATTATTATTATTATTATTATTATTATTATTATTATTATTATTATTATTATTATTATTATTATTATTATTATTATTATTATTATTATTATTATTATTATTATTATTATTATTATTATTATTATTATTATTATTATTATTATTATTATTATTATTATTATTATTATTATTATTATTATTATTATTATTATTATTATTATTATTATTATTATTATTATTATTATTATTATTATTATTATTATTATTATTATTATTATTATTATTATTATTATTATTATTATTATTATTATTATTATTATTATTATTATTATTATTATTATTATTATTATTATTATTATTATTATTATTATTATTATTATTATTATTATTATTATTATTATTATTATTATTATTATTATTATTATTATTATTATTATTATTATTATTATTATTATTATTATTATTATTATTATTATTATTATTATTATTATTATTATTATTATTATTATTATTATTATTATTATTATTATTATTATTATTATTATTATTATTATTATTATTATTATTATTATTATTATTATTATTATTATTATTATTATTATTATTATTATTATTATTATTATTATTATTATTATTATTATTATTATTATTATTATTATTATTATTATTATTATTATTATTATTATTATTATTATTATTATTATTATTATTATTATTATTATTATTATTATTATTATTATTATTATTATTATTATTATTATTATTATTATTATTATTATTATTATTATTATTATTATTATTATTATTATTATTATTATTATTATTATTATTATTATTATTATTATTATTATTATTATTATTATTATTATTATTATTAATATTATTATTATTATTATTATTATTATTATTATTATTATTATTATTATTATTATTATTATTATTATTATTATTATTATTATTATTATTATTATTATTATTATTATTATTATTATTATTATTATTATTATTATTATAAAATATTAATTATGCTTTTTTGTTGCAGGTATGTGAGTTGTAATTATTTCTTGAAGTTTAATTAGTAGGTAAGTTCAAAAATTTTTGACATCAAAAATACATAATAAAACCAATATTTTAAAATTTAAAATTGAATTTCGCCAACCAAGACTCTAAAGTTGCTCCTCTGAATAATAAATTAATTTCTAATTATTATCTACACTTATTCGACTTGTACAAGTTTGTTATTAACAGGAAAATTCAAACTCAAATACATAAAATTTGTTAAAAAGAAATCGAAAGATTTTAAGCAAGAGACGCTAGACAATAATATGCTTAAATCATGCTTAAATTGATAGTTTATGAATTTGATAACTGTCAGTATGAAATTCACTAAAATCCTATTAAAAACCGTACCTCTGCTACATTTACTATTATGATATGTTAAATAATACATTTTGAATATACTATCTTTAACAGAGAAAATCTATGCATCCGACTATAAACGTTCAATTGTCAAATAAAATTTTATTAATGTAAATGAGATTTGTCAACGTTATCAATGATGTAAATTGGATTTTATATTGAATCCAGTATTGATTATATCCCCATATCGCTAGACAACCTGTATATATAAAACCTTTACCCAAACGATTGATTTATCGGAACTTTCACAGAAACAAAAACACTACTACTCGTTTATACTTCCAATATCATTTTTCTTTTTCGTTTCTTTTTGTCACTTACCGCAACGTACTTCTGTTTAGCGTAAAAACATACACCGATATTATTCCACAATGCCATCGAATCTGGTCGGTAATGGATCGCCATTTTGTACTTTGATAAAGCTACGTCGTAATCCTCGTGTTGCTGAAAATGAAAATTTGAAACATTGGTTTTTGTATTTTGTATGCATCGTGGTCACAAACTAATAATTGACTACGTGCAGTCATTATCGTTTGCTTTTGTTGGTAAAAATTGGGATCTAGTGGACTTTGGTTTTCCTATAGCGCAGTAAAAGAGAACTGTCGTGATAGAGGAAAATAAATATAGGACATTCGCTTTAATAATTAATGGATTGATCGACTTACCTGTAAGGATGATCGATCCGAATTATTCGAGCTGTTGTCCGTAATGATTATTACACCCTGTAAGCATGACTGATCAGTGCAAAAAACTACCAAGATAAAACAATTTCTATATGACCACCTGCGGTATGTGAGTGATTCATTACATTATTTGATTTATTAGATTGCGATGGGATAGGGACAAGAGTGGGATGTAATAATCATTATGGACAACAGCTCGAATAATTCGGATCGATCCTCCTTACAGGTAAGTCGATCAATCCGTTAATTATTCTTCGCTGTTGTCCTACATTATTATTACACCCTGTAGGATGTACCAAGAGAAAAGTACGCAATCTAATAATTTTAATTTTTCATTTTAATACGATAGATACCCATTATAACTGAACAATGTAATAATTCTCGAAAATAAACAAAAAAGGAAAACTGCAATAATAATAAATAACTAATAGTAACGATTTATAACTAGATATACTTTTTAGAGACCAATGTGGTCGCAAATTAATTTTCTGTTGTTTGACAGCTTGTTATAAAATTGTATGAAAACATTCCAACTCATAGTGGCTCGAATACCGTCTATATTTACACCTCGACAGAAGAGGCTCGTGGTGTATGCCTAACGTTAAAAATAGTTTATCTTTTGTTTATGGTCTGTTTATTGGTTGTTTCCAAGTAGTATTTTAAGGTTTTTACCACACATGGACTAGGTAGGTAGGTAAGTAGGTTAATTTTTTGCGTATACGCATTTCTAGGTCTCCATCCCCCTTTTTATCAATGTTTACTAACAAAATCTGATATAGTCTGCATTCTATGAGCAGAAATAAATACCATTAAAGTACCTAGTTTGTAACTTAAAATTAAAATGTCTAGTGTCAGATTTTCTAAATAAGAATTGTTTTATGGCTGTAAGGGAACACATTTCAATGGCTATGGGAAATAATTATAATAATGTTTTTTTTTTTACCTGAATAATGCATCCAATTGCCAATAATGCTTTTGTATGAGCAGGTTCTAAAGCTAAAGCAGAACTCAATCTTTCAAAAGCATGTTCATTCTGTCCAAGTTTCAGAAACAATAATCCAGATTCTGTGAGCATATTAACGCTATCCGGGCAAAATCTGCAAAAAATAATTAGAAATACATAAGAGCATGTTGTCATAAATGTAAAATTTTATAAGTGAATTATATAGTACAGGGTGTCTGATTAAAAACTCTTAGCGGCTGTATCTCAGAAACCATTTACAACAAAGTCAATCAAGAGAAAATACTGGAAATTATTTTCATCTTTCTATTTTAACTGTTAGAGGGTGTAATTCGTTATGGTAATGCAAAAAACCCTTTTAATAAAAGTACGGTAATTTTGAACGAATTTTATAAAAGTTTTATTTAACACGTTTTGCTATATTCAATGAAATAACTATTAAGGTACGTTTACATCTGACATTTATTGCATGAAATTTATGTCAGAGAATTGTTTACTCCAGTGTAAACACACAAAAATTTCTATCGGAGATATATTTTTGAGTCTTTACACTGGACTAAACAACTGTCAGACATAAATTTCATGCAATAAATGTCAGATGTAAACGTACCATTAGACGCGATTGGAAACCTTAATTTAATAAAACTAGTATAACTACGGTATCTTTCATTAGATGTTGTCTAATTTTATCTATTTTTGTCTAATGTTGTCTAATATTGTCTAATTTTGTCTAATTTTGTCTAATTTTGACTAATTTTATCTTATTTTGTCTTATTTTGTCTTATTTTGTCTTATTTTGTCTTATTTTGTCTTATTTTGTCTTATTTTGTCTTATTTTGTCTTATTTTGTCTTATTTTGTCTTATTTTGTCTTATTTTGTCTTATTTTGTCTTATTTTGTCTTATTTTGTCTTATTTTGTCTTATTTTGTCTTATTTTGTCTTATTTTGTCTTATTTTGTCTTATTTTGTCTTATTTTGTCTAATTTTGTCCAATTTGTTGTCTAATTTTATCTAGTTTTATCTAATTCTGTTCAATTTTGTCTAATTTTGTCTAATTTTGTCTAATTTTGTCTACTTTTGTCTACTTTTGTCTACTTTTGTCTACTTTTGTCTACTTTTGTCTACTTTTGTCTACTTTTGTCTACTTTTGTCTACTTTTGTCTACTTTTGTCTACTTTTGTCTACTTTTGTCTACTTTTGTCTACTTTTGTCTACTTTTGTCTACTTTTGTCTACTTTTGTCTACTTTTGTCTACTTTTGTCTACTTTTGTCTACTTTTGTCTACTTTTGTCTACTTTTGTCTACTTTTGTCTACTTTTGTCTACTTTTGTCTACTTTTGTCTACTTTTGTCTACTTTTGTCTACTTTTGTCTACTTTTGTCTACTTTTGTCTACTTTTGTCTACTTTTGTCTACTTTTGTCTACTTTTGTCTACTTTTGTCTACTTTTGTCTACTTTTGTCTACTTTTGTCTACTTTTGTCTACTTTTGTCTACTTTTGTCTACTTTTGTCTACTTTTGTCTACTTTTGTCTACTTTTGTCTACTTTTGTCTACTTTTGTCTACTTTTGTCTACTTTTGTCTACTTTTGTCTACTTTTGTCTACTTTTGTCTACTTTTGTCTACTTTTGTCTACTTTTGTCTACTTTTGTCTACTTTTGTCTACTTTTGTCTACTTTTGTCTACTTTTGTCTACTTTTGTCTACTTTTGTCTACTTTTGTCTACTTTTGTCTACTTTTGTCTACTTTTGTCTACTTTTGTCTACTTTTGTCTACTTTTGTCTACTTTTGTCTACTTTTGTCTACTTTTGTCTACTTTTGTCTACTTTTGTCTACTTTTGTCTACTTTTGTCTACTTTTGTCTACTTTTGTCTACTTTTGTCTACTTTTGTCTACTTTTGTCTACTTTTGTCTACTTTTGTCTACTTTTGTCTACTTTTGTCTACTTTTGTCTACTTTTGTCTACTTTTGTCTACTTTTGTCTACTTTTGTCTACTTTTGTCTACTTTTGTCTACTTTTGTCTACTTTTGTCTACTTTTGTCTACTTTTGTCTACTTTTGTCTACTTTTGTCTACTTTTGTCTACTTTTGTCTACTTTTGTCTACTTTTGTCTACTTTTGTCTACTTTTGTCTACTTTTGTCTACTTTTGTCTACTTTTGTCTACTTTTGTCTACTTTTGTCTACTTTTGTCTACTTTTGTCTACTTTTGTCTACTTTTGTCTACTTTTGTCTACTTTTGTCTACTTTTGTCTACTTTTGTCTACTTTTGTCTACTTTTGTCTACTTTTGTCTACTTTTGTCTACTTTTGTCTACTTTTGTCTACTTTTGTCTACTTTTGTCTACTTTTGTCTACTTTTGTCTACTTTTGTCTACTTTTGTCTACTTTTGTCTACTTTTGTCTACTTTTGTCTACTTTTGTCTACTTTTGTCTACTTTTGTCTACCATTGTCTACTTTTGTCTACTTTTGTCTACTTTTGTCTACTTTTGTCTACTTTTGTCTACTTTTGTCTACTTTTGTCTACTTTTGTCTACTTTTGTCTACTTTTGTCTACTTTTGTCTACTTTTGTCTACTTTTGTCTACTTTTGTCTACTTTTGTCTACTTTTGTCTACTTTTGTCTACTTTTGTCTACTTTTGTCTTTTTTTGTCTACTTTTATCCTCTTTTGCGTACTTTTGTCTACTTTTGTTTAATTTTTCCTGATAATTTCAGGTTGACATCATTTTTCGTTTCTGACTTATCGTGAAGAAAAAAAAAACATGACATCGGACGGACATTTTTAAATGTTGTAATTTTTTTTAAATTTGGATTAATTATAACCATTTTGGTTTTTTGAAAGTAAACCTACTACACAGACTATTGTGTGAATAGTATAATAATAATTATTTTGTAAATAAAAATAAAATTAACGTAAAATTATACTTAAGAGGTCGATTTATATTAATAAATAATATTTCTAAATAGCACGCGAGGTTAGAATTTTTTGAGAATATTTTGTTGTTTCCTTACATATTATGCAAACTTCACTCAACAAAATCCTTTCAAAATACCACTCGACTGACGTTTTGTGGGAATTTTTAGGAGGATTTTATTTTGTGAAATTTAGAGGTATAATTTCTAAAGAAACAACAGAAGATTCTCCAAAAATTATCACTTCTTGTATTATTTGATAATTCATTTAATGAATTTATTAAAAAATATATATTAAATATTTACACCTAAGTAACTTTTCCCAAGATTTAACTCAAATAGCTTGGGATATTAACCTTCAAACAAACTTTCATTGTTAAAATTAGGAGAGTAGGTAAGTATCAATTCTGTCACTTGTAAATTCCTTCTTATTAACTGTCTTTTAAGAAGTTCTTTATTACAAAAGTCTCCTTTATTAAAAATCTTCACCTCATACTTTGACATTTAACAGAATTCAACCGTTTGTGAAGCGGCAATTAATTAGTAATTAATTACCACGGTGGTTGAATTTATGCTTCGATAATTACTTTTTTCCTCTCATATTAAGTCGAAATACCTAAGGCATCTTGATTCTCGAAATTTTTCATGACTACGTTTATAATAAATTATTTTGATAAAATAACTTTTGATTTGCATTTTATAAAAATTAGATTGATGCAAAAATAGCAAGCCCCTGGCAACAATCTTCCAATGTTATGTTAAGTTAGACTCGTTTCAACCTCTTTGAATGTTTATAAAAATGGAAGTCTTTTAAATCCTCGTCTCTTTTGATCATTCTGTCATTGCAACAAATCTACCCTTGAAATAAAGACGTTGAAAATTGAAAACAATTCCTTTTCATTGTTGTATTATTTTACATTTCCTTCATTTGTAGGAAATGAGAAAAGTTTTTACCTGAAAGCGATTCGAGATGCAAACCGATTGAAAACGTTTGTAAAGCCATTAAATCGAAGACAATGGAAATTCGAATCCTTCAATAATTAGAAATCCATAGCATTGTCTACAACTTTCGAATAAAATGAAAACGAAGTGACTTACGTATTGACTGTGCATACCTACCTTTTACAGTAGATACGAAGCTTTAAAAGATTTTAAAAAATTAGTTTTTAAAAGACACAAAAACAATGGTATCTGACTGGTAGTGGGAGCGGTTATAGGACCTGTGAAATTCAAAATAAAGTATCGATGTATGTTTTGGTTTATTTGCTGACATTGAAATAATATACCGGGTCTTCAACAATACCCGAAACCCACGTGATCTGGTAACATCAGAAAGCAACGAAACTGATTTGAAGGAATCAAACTGAACTGTTAATCCTCTCAGAAATATCACTGGCGTTCATTTGGGGACTGAAGATATCTATATTATATTTGTTTTACATTTTATCAACACTTTTATTCCTTTTTTCATTTAGATAATATTAATAAACCAATTAGTTATTTTTAGAGATTATTGGTGGCATAATTATTTTCTGTTAAAAACAAATCTTAATAAAAATCGAGGGATTAAGAGGGGTCGAAATTAAAATATCCGATATCAAAAACAAAAAGCGAGATCAACATATAATTTTTAATATGAAGCAAGCTCTATCAGGAATATAAGCTCATTGTTCTGCACCATGCAGTGTTTTCTGGTACAGTTGTTTTGATTATCATTGGTTAATGTACTATAGTATTAAATAATCATATTATTATATACCTAATACAACGAGTGTTTTTTAAATTTATTTAACAACACGATGAACGCATTAATTTGTTTGATTATCAATAGAATGACATCAAAAGTTGTATTCAATAGATAATATCACTCAAAATGTAGTTCATTAATAGTCGATACAATTATACACTGTACTGTAATAAAAACTGTTGTTACTTTTCAATACTGCTCGTATACGCGAAATAAAGTTCTGACAAAATAATTGAATTCGTTTTATATTTGGCCTTTAGAGGGCACAATGAATCTCAATAATCCATAAATAAAGGTAATTTTAAAGAAGTTTTAGATTTATTTTATAAATTACGACAGCAAGCTTCGTGATTTATTCGAGTATGCTTCAGTATTTTCGGGAACTTCAACAAACAATCCAAAACGAACGTAGATTCCATTAATTTGGTTTAACAAAATTTTATAGAGGAGGAAATGTTGAATATTTTCCTGGATTTAGTAAGAAAAGTACCTATGGGAGTCATAATTTTTTTTCAACCTCAAATTTTCAACTTTGCTAAGCCCATTGTACAATTTCCAGAGTTTCAAACGCGTGTTCTTTATCAACCTGTGTTCACACACCTATTAACAATGTTCTATAAATATACTAAGACCGTTTTATTTATATTCTTTTTGGTATGTTCTTTTTAAAATGTTCTTAGAACCTGCTTAGAATATCCTTCAGAAGAATATTCTAAAAAGAATATATATACTGAGTACGTGTCATAAAAGTATATACTGAGCCTGTGCTTTAACAGTACATTCTTAAATGACACTGAAAGTCATATATTCGAGTGGATTGTTCATATCCACTTTTGTTGCACAAACTACTATTAAAAATTTGGTGGATGACCTTACTAGTTATGTAGCCAATGTTAAAATTTTGGTGGAAGCGCTGAAAATGCTTTCTTATTTATAATAATTTTTATTAATTTGACTGGTATATTTAAAATAGAAAAGCCTGACAGTGTCTGCCGCAAAAAGCATTTTTTTGAAAGCCAGGTATTATTCACTCTAGTCACTATAACAGACACGTGTCGCAGATTTAAATTACTTTAAAATATTGAGTTTTGGTTAAAAAATTTGATAGAACCACTAGATCACAAAAGGGGTAAATAGATACTATCTAAGTATGTTTCCTTAATAATTATATCTCCATCTTGTATACTAACGGCTAAAATTTTTTTAATAACACAAAAGGTAAAACTTACATCGTTTGTTTGTCTGTATTTAAAAGGAATTTCAGTACAAGGAACTAATAATTTTTTGTGCATCAAGTCTATATTTAAATTCATATATTAGGTCAGTAAGTTCGATAACATCATCAAAGTAATTATGAAAGTCGTATAAAATAAATTAAAGTGTTGCAATTGAATTATCTGAATTCTGCTACATTAAAGTTTTTCACGAATCTTCACGATTCGGGGTCCCCTGAATTTGTTTTGAGCATTCTCACAAAGTCGGAGCATCTAGGGGGGTACTTGTAGGGGGAATTTTTCTACCATAAGGTATTATTCGGTTATTTATGATTTAAGAAGAAAATTCTTATTATAAAAGTTGTTTGTAATATCATTCTATATAATTTTTGCTCTATATATTTCTTTAAAATGGGCGGTGCTAAAGAAATTTGTATCGCAAATATTTATTATTTAAATTTGTAAAAAAACTGAACGATTTTTCGTTTTCTACGATGTAAGTTTGGGAAAACAGCAACTGATTCATTTAATTTTTTATTAAACAATTACAGCGTTTTAATTTTAATGAGAAAATAGGCAACTCCAAATCAATCCCACTTTGAGAGGTTGAATTCCGTTCTAAGTTTTTTAATTATAGCATAAAGTTATTGCATAGACGATGGAGCAGCTGTAGTAGCGGGGCATTTAAATGAGCCTTTAAATTCAAATAAAATCAGGCTATATTCTCTCACTGTTATCTTTTTAACATTAATTTGGAAGTAATGCTTGTAGGATTTTTTTCGGATATATACGCATTTTCATTTATTTATTTTTTTTAATCTACCAAACGTAAATATTTAGGCTATTAGCTGCAGACGTCTATATTACATCCTTTATCATAAATACATATTTAACTTTTACCTTTAAATACTTACTCTACAGCTGCATTTGACACGATAACGGCGTTTTTCACGTCTCCTTGTAACAACAAAATTTTAATCAAAAATTCGTAACAAAATTCGTGTTTTCCAGCTTGGATCGCTTTTTGAGCATATTCCTGAGCCTTGTTTACGTCTCCCAACTTCAATAAGCACTGCCCTAAAAAGAGGCAGACAAATTAAAATTAACGATGAATATGAGCGTGTGTCGACAAAGGTATTGCGAAATATAAATACACATCATGTAAATTGAATCAGACACTGACAAATCTGTTTAATAAAATACAAACGTTATTTCGGATTTATTATACCCTACCGATTTAAAATAATTAGGTACCATTTCATATTGCAGGTACAGGGTGGTTTTAAATAACCTGTATTTAATGAATATCATATCCTTTATGACCAAGATATTGGTAATTTCTTCAATTATTTATAACCAATGAACCAAATTGTATTATGATTTGTCAAGTGTGGTACAGAACACAAACTAGCAATCTGCCAAAAAAGTGGTGGCGATAACAAACTAAAATAAACACTCAACTCATTTGATTCATACAAATCACCCATAATTGATATAATATACCCAATAATGCTACAAAGAGGACCTAATGTTTTATATAAAAGAATCTGTAGCATACTCAGAAGTAGCCTGACCTTTGAATACATACAAAAACCTGAAAAAATTGGACAGGGAAATCCCTTAAACCAATAAATTAGTATATCTTTCGTACTTAAGACTTAAAACTGCTAGATATATATATATATATATATATTAAAGACGAGATATTAGTTCAAATACCAATACACTAAGGCCAATACGCATATAGTACAGAAAAAATCATAATCAATTCGTAATAATAGTGGAGAACACACTGGAAAACAAGTAGATTATGTTAGAAGCTTCCTTAGACATCGACCTACGTTGACTCTATCGCCTCAGATACATAGAGAAATCAAAGGCACATGAGTAACCTGGATTATCTCTGTGCTAAGAGGGATAATGATACATGCAACCATTATAGGAGAGATGATGAGAGCAGCTCCGGTTGCGAGGGGATGCCCACAGGGAGGAGTACTATCTCCATTCCTATGGAACCTGGTCATGAAAGGGCTGGTTATGATTCTCAAAAGTAATGAACATAAAACCCTGGGATATGTCAATGATACAGTGAACATGGTACAGGATAAATACAACACTAGAGTTAGAGATCGTTGGCAAATATAGTAACAAAATTGATAGAAAATAAAACCTAAAAATTAGTCCCAACAAATTTAATATTATTGCATTCATACGCCGGTATGGGCGCCGCCATACAAGAGAAAGAGGGACATCTGTCCCCCCCCCCCCCCGGATTTGTGATTTTTTATTGTCTCGCCATTGCTTCCGCCTATAGCTTGCGGTATTTTTGACCCTGTCTATAAGACTTGACCCACTTGGAAATTTTTTAAGCGTCACCCAAGTCCACAAGAGAAGGCGCAATTATTTTGCTTATTGATTAATTTCAAATGTAGATACTGAGAAAATATTTAATTTTGTGGCCTTTTAAATAAAATTAAACTTATCTAAACAAACTTTTTGCCTCTCCCTTTTATAACTGTATTTACTGTCCGGTATAATTAAATATTGATCACGTTAGAAAAGCCCAAAGCGTTCATTAGTCAGCAAAATAATTAAATCCCGAATAATAATATTTGTCTTTCAAACTAGATATATTTGAAAGCTGCTTTTATTTTATTTATATTGAATTGAATACATTTATTTGTATTTACTCACTCACCTAGATAGTAATAAATCTGCCAGTCTGGATTGTTTGAGGTCTTTTCTGCCTCGAGATAAGCCTCCATCGCTAATTTGAACCTTTGCATTTCGTAACTAGAAAATTAAATTACGTGATATAGAGTGGTGGAAAAGTTCGAACTTTTGGGTCGGCTTTGCCTGTATTAAAGTGATATACGAGCCCTAACAATGGACAGTGTACGAAATGTTAAAAAAATATAATCATATTTATTATTCTACGTGGTATAAATAAAAATATGTTTTTAATCAAATTATTCTTTAAAGTTTTGATATAAGCTAAATTTTTTATTAAAAATCAATATTAATCTAAACAAAATATTAGGGTTTCGAAGAACTCCGTAAATACGGCAACGCTGAATATTTTATTGTACGGATTTACAACTAGTACCTATTTTTATGAATGAAATGTAGTTACCGTAACCAGCCGCGACGTTGCCAATCGGGTCTAACAGCTATTTTGTGTTTCTGACAGTTTCTGACAGTTTATGTGTGACTTATTGATTTATTCATTTATAAAATAATATTTTTGTGAACTTTTGTGAGAAATATAAAGAATTATTCGCAAAAAATGACGTAGTATCCGGACCATCGAATAGTCGAATTTAAAAGTGAGCACGATTAAAAACTGCTTTAGCTTATATTTCGTATAAAAAAAGAATAGCAATAGTTAATATGAAATACACCCTTTTTTTAAGTACAAACCGTTTGAGGTACCTATTTCGAAATAAATGCGACACGATAAGAAAACTTTATTATGGGAATTGACATAACAACAATACATAGGTATATTTGTTTTCAATGTCCACGTTATAATACTATTTTTCTGTTCTCTTTTCAATATTCGACTTTTCCGTTATTTCTTTTTTAATGTTTTATCTTCACTTTCATTATTCCCAAGAATTAAAGTAGGGACTGCCATTGTCTTCAATCGCCTCATCACTGGCAAACCCAATTATTCATCATAAAGATCTCTTTCATATTCATTGCCGATAAAATGGACAGAACAAATCTGGCTTTTTGTGGGATTTCATTTATCGGCTCTACGGCACCTCCGAGTCCACTCTTGTTTCATTTCGTGTGATACAAAATCTTTCCCCAATGGAAAATGATGATAAATTATATCTGGATTATCTAATTTTGTTTTCACACGGCTGCTGTTACAATTACTGACCACCGTCTGTCTGGCATATTCAAACCCTAAAAAAATACCACTATAATCAGTTAAATACAATCATTTTTGCCACTGTAGAACTTACCAAAATAATCTTTATAGAAACACTTTTAAAACGTTCAGTCAATTAGAAAGTTACAAAAACAATCCAAAAAATACTAAAAACCATGTACAAACTTATAAACAATACAGGAATTAAAAAATATCTGACCCGGCAATGACGTAACACAGTGAAACGTACATACTAGATGGGATTGGCTAATCCTAATATAGAAATTAAGTATCCTTGGGTACTTGCCATTGAGATAGAATAAAGAGAAGATAATATGACGATGCTAAAGTATCCTTACGTTTGCATTACACTTTAACTTCATATGTCAAAATCAAGATAGTAGCGCTAGTCAGTTTTGGTAAGAATAAATGATATAAATTCATTTAAATGATATAAAGTCATTTTAATTCCGTCAGTCTTTAAATAAATCAAAGTACGACCAAAGTATATTAACCGTTGAGTAGCAACATAAAGCGTCGGTGCCTTTGATCTTGGATGGTGCAAATTTTCTTTCTCTCTTTTGACGTTATTGACGGAACGACACACTAAAACACTGCTCGAATTATGAACTGGTCTTGAATGTGATGTTTACACTGCTCGACGTAATTTGAAGTAAAACTCTTTTGTAGTTTACATTTATAATAAAGGTTTGGTCATTAGGCAGTTTTATATTTATGAGTATTTAATTTATGTAATAAATATAAAAATATATATCACTATTGATAAATTTCAATTTTTTTACCTACGTCCGGATGAGCTAGAGACTTGAGAGTTGGTAGGTGCACAGGGTTTTGATTTTTGATAACAATAGAAATTATTACTCATGGACCTTCTTATTTATTAATCGAGTTGTCTCAAACTTTAAATTTCGCGTTGTTTGAACATGTCGCTGAATACAATTTTTGACTAATAAATCCACAACAACGAATTCCTATATCAGCTGCCGAACTGAAGTGAAAGGGGTTGTTTACATCTTTAGAAGACGGCTCGCCTCTCTATTTCGCGTCGGCACACTAGAATTCGGTTCCTCAGCTGTCGCTACTCAACGGTTAATATACTTTGGTACACATACTTTTGCCGCGTTTGAGAATCCACATCGGATGCATTTTTTACATCTCGAGCGTTTTTTTATCCACATCGGACACATCTGTCCCATTACATTTACGTATACTGAATCACGTGATCAAAGATTTTTTACATCTCAGATGCATCCGATGTGGATTCTCAAACGCAGCATTTGATTACTATACGGGGCAAGAGAGAGGTCCGACACGCCCAACATAGGGCGCGGCCATTTTGAACCCTATGACACAGTTTATAGCTAAAGAATCAGATCGCTCACTCTGCGTCGGTACTTTTTATCTCAATGTTCCAGTTTATACATTATACATACAGTTTATACACTACTCAGATAATACAATATATGACAACCGCCTAAAATAAAACAGCAGTCTTCTGCGTATCCTGAATTTGTATCCCTGGAGTGGATGTTATTTTGGAACTTTCAACTGGTCCGAGTGAGCTAACTGATTCTTTAGCAATACACTGTAACTCCAAAAATAATAGGTCTTTTCCTTTGCATCGAAAGTGTAGCACTGAGCTACGTCACTTCTGAAAATATCGTTCCATCCATACAATTTGTATATACGGAACGATATTTTCAGAATTGGTGTAGCCCAGTGCTACACTTTCAATGCAAAGGAAAAGACCTAATATTCACTGACACTGACAGCAGCAAGCAAAATATCAGGTGCGTTTTAATCATCCGCTTCTGCTTCCGGAATTGTCGGTTCAGTCGTTCTAACCTGTCAGATTAAAACAAGAAAACCGACAATTCCGAAGCAGAAGCGGATGATTAAAACGCACTTACTAAAAATATTGCGCCAAGATGTAGGCAACACGTAATAAGGGTTCAAAATGGCGGAGTTTTCTATCTCCTTTTATAAGGCACTCAGAAAGCTGCGCAGTGCGACCATTCTCCGTATAGTAAAAGAAAATCAAAGTATGTGACTTTGATACGACTCAAGTCGCCATTTTCATGACATTTTTCCGTCACTCGAAGTGCGTTCATCTGTATTATCACAAAATATATAGTGTTTTTGTCGTCTCTAGTTTATTCTATCTCAATATGGTACTTGACTTGCAGAATGTATTTAAAGTTTAATCATTCATTTCTTCAAAGTAAGCGTTCTAATGGAATCTCAAGAAAATAGAAAATAAGTAATAAAATAACCCCTATTTTGTAATAGTACAATCATGTTTTAAAATTAATACTAACGGATTATTTAACCAACTTTTTTATTGAGGTTTTAGCAAAGAAGACGTAGATTTCATTTTGTTGAAATCCCTGATTTTCGGCTCTGCGAACGCCTCTAATTGAAATACGCATGTTCATCCATCGTGAACTTTCTCGGCGACATAGAGGCTCCGAGAACAAAACTATTTGACACATAAAATGACAGTAAAATGTAAAAAATGATGGGTCAGGATGTTCGATAAGTACGGTACATAATTTCAGGAGCGTATTCTGGAGCTAAAATAAAGGTATTTCTGTCATATACACTATGTCTCAATCTCAAAAATACTTCGTTACGAAAATACAGGGTGTGAAAGTTACCTTGTCCGCACGCCACTGGTTAAACGAAAGCCACTATGTTTACAGTAAAACACGCAACGCTGCTAACTCTCAAAAGCTGCAAAAATTTAATTAAAATATCTCAAGTTGTTTTGAAAATATTTAAAAAATTGTATTTTTTTTATGAAACTTTCACATTCTGTATTTCCGTAACGAAGCATTTTTGAGACATAGTGTATATGACAAAAATTCCTTTATTTTAGCTGCAGAATACGCTCCTGAAGTTATATACCGTACTTATCGAACATCCTGTAGATCTACTATATTCTATTTATTTATTAAGTTTTATAGTTTATTTTATATTCTCAAAAAAAACTTACAGGCATTTTCCAACTTCATTCAAATAATCGGCCTTTCCAGGATTTAATCTCAAACAGGCCTGAAAAGATTCCAAAGATTCTTGAAATTTTCCTTCTTCTCTTAGAATTTCACCCTGTAAAAAAGTAAAAACTATTTTCTGTTCGCCACCGGTAAATTAAAATTTAATTTAATAATTTTATTATCTTTTTTAATACCTGTTTGTAAAGCGCAAATTCATTTTTTCCTTTACTTCTTTCAATTTCTTTAATTATTAGCGATTTACAAGCTTGAATTCTCCCTGTAACATGTTGTAGGTGAATTAGCCAATTAAATTTTTCTAATGATGCAAATTTCTCGTTCGTATTTTTTTGTGCACTCTTTCCTGAAACTAAATATATTTGTATATGTATATAAAATCATTAAAATCATATATTTTTAATGCTATAAACACTAACCATCCGTTTTTGCAGAAAAATTATAATGACCATTTGAAATCATTTTTCAAAAATGCGTTTCTGATGCGTTCTACTCCCTACACCACCTTTACACTTTGTTGTAATTCTGGTTGCATAGTAACTGTTGACGTTGATTTGACTTTTGACGGAACTTGACAGTGACTGGTAGGTTACTATTTTTTGATAAATCAATTATTTGTTTTAAGTTTTTTTAAAAATGCTAATGATCGCTCAACTTGAACATTCTAAATAATGATTCAATAACATTTAACTATTATTAATGTGAAAAATCAAAACTATTGTTTTTTATTCTATACAAAATATATGCAATTTAAATTAAAAAATTGTGGTTAAAGACGAAGTAATATGCAGTGTTTATTTTATCGATAATTGTTTGCTATTGATATGTACTTCCTACGTCCTACGGATTATTTTGTAAATATCAGTTATGCCCGGAAGTAAGGAATTTTTTAAAGATTGGAAAAATACAGTAGTATGGAAAATGACTATCCCATGTTAACTAAAACTCAGCGGCTTGTTTTGGGATTTTTAGTTTTAATATTAGTCGATGTTATATGGGTATCGTCTTCTGAATTGACCAAGGTAAGAGACAAATTTGTATTTTTTATTGTGTAAGGTATATATACCTACCAACAACGCATTTAAAAGTTTTGGAAACATTATTTCATTGAAACAAAAAATTATTTTTTTTACATTGTATGAGAGAATGTTAAAAGGTCCTTACTTATCACATGTCAATGTTGTAGTTTTTTAATTTGTGTATATAAATTAATTTAACATTTATTAAAATTTCTGAACATACAGAGGCGTTAACACTTATCTGCAATAATAATAATAATAATAATAATAATACAGATATTAACTTAGTATCATTGTTAATATGCGAATATTTAAGGGTGCAAATCTGTATGAAAAATTAATGGTTTGTTTTATAAACTATGGTCCAAAAATTCATATTTTGAAATCGTTTGAGATATTTCAGTGATGTAGATTATTGCAATTAATTACATTATTTAACCAGTATGGATGTCAATGGTTACAGTACAAGAACTGTTTGATGTATTCTCAATGCACTCTTTTATAGCTAATGCAATCCAAAATTTCCAACTCTGTATACCTAGTTCACAACTAAAGAACTACATTTTAACATTTAACTTTTCTAACTATATTTTATTCCCAATTCAGTTCTTTTATTAATATGTACTTTCTCCTTCATAACTTGGCATCAAGGGACATGCCAAGGTACTTTGCATTCAGCTCATGAGGTGCAGTTTTTTTTTGTTTTACCTTATAAGAAAATTGTACAAAAAAATTATATGTTTATAGTGAAACATGTCATCGTAATTATAAAAATACATAAAATTAAATACCTAATAAAAATTTAGAAAGAAAAAAAAACATACCTAACACAAACATGAATTATTGTATAAAATATTCTTCTATGGAATAGCAGTTTTTCTCTAATAAAAGATTTTTTTACATTAGACTTAAAAGTGAACTGTTGTTCTTTATGCCCTCTGAACGGATATTATAAAATTTACAACCCATATACTCTAGATTCTTTTCAAAATGTGCCGTAGGGTGTCTAGATATTAGTAATTGGCTTTTGTTTCTTGTGTTATACTCATGAGAAGCATGCTTGGCAACATATATTGATATGTTCTTCTAATATATATGCCCCAGCCAGTGTCAGAATTTTAAATTTTTTAAAAAACTACATGAATCTCTTATTCTCAGTTTCGCAATAATTCTTATGGCATATTTTTGAAGAACAAAAACTCTTTGCTTGGTAGAACACTTACCCCAATTAAGTATGCCATATTTCAAATGAGAGTGAAAATTTGCATGATGCACTGTTAAGAGTGTACTTTTACTACAATGATTGGCAAGAAATCTAAGACTATAGCAACTTTTTCGTAATTTATTACACAGGTTATCAATATGTAAATTCCAGGTTATGCCATAATCAATAGTGATTCCTAATATTTTAATATTTTCTTCAGATATAATTGGATTATTAGTGTTTTCAAATAATTAGTTTTGTAAAAATTGTGCATTATTATTAAATAACATAAAGTACCTATATTAGTTTTAGTTTTGTTTAATTTTATGTTATTTTTTTCCGACTACAATAAAACTTGATTATATGTTGCTATTTTTAGTGCATCTGCATTATTTTCGATAATTAAAATATCTGTCATCAGCATAACAAGTTGGGTATATTCCAGGAATAGCATTCAAGGAAGTGATTAGGTCGTTGGCAGAAACTAAAAATAAAAATGGATCCAAAATCGATCCTTGGGGAACCACTTGTGAAACTTCCAGCTCCAAACTAGGAACATTATTCACTTGTACAATTTGTCTTTTATTTGATAAATATGATTCTAATAAGTTAAGTGGTATACCTCTTATCCCATATTTAGACAGCTTAAGCAGTAGAAGTTTATGGTCCACACAGTCAAAAGCTTTAGAAAAATCAATAAATAAATCCATTACATGCTTCTTACTATTAAGAGATCGATTTTAGTATGGAACTCTATCAATGCAATCTCTGTACTCTTTTTTGAAGTATAACCATGTTGTGATGGCGATAACAGCTTAAACTTAGTGAAAAAATTACATCATTGATTTTTATATTCAACTCATATGCTTTGGAAAAAGTTGACAAGATACTTATTGGTCTATAGTTATTAATATTCAGATCTTTTTGTAAATGGAAACTACTTTAGCTAGTTTTAAAGAATCTGGAAAAATACCTTTCTCAGTTGATAAATTCAACAAAAAACTCAATGGTTTAGTCAATTTTTAATTAACTTATTATTTAAGCCATCAGTGCCGACTGAAATAGTATTTTTTAAAGACTGTATTAATTTTAAAACATCCTCATCTAAAAGAGGAGCCACATAAAATGTTTTAATATTAGATGTAATATTTTTATTTAAAAATTCTATGTCACAAACTAAGCTATCTATGGGGGGTTTAGTAAGTACCACGGAAATAGAAGTCTCCAAGAAATATGTAGATCGTCAGACAAACGAGAAAACTGCAGAGAATCCCGCAAAAAACTGCTTTTAAAGACTTGCGCTTGCCGTACTTTCGCTTGGAATATGGCGCTTTGTGAGTCTAATTTTTCTGTCCTCACTAGAATTGATAGACCTCAGCGCAGGTGAAGTTACATCCAAGACTGGCAAACCTTACCTATTTAGTATTTGAAAGAGAGGGTAAAAAATATAAGTATTGACAATCTGTTGGTTCAGTTTAATAATTTAAAAAATATAATACTGCAGTTATTCTAAAAATTGATGAAAAAATTATTTATTTTTAATCTCTGCCCTATTTGTTACCAGTTTTACTCTTTTATAACTCAACCCTCAACCAGTTCATAGGAAAAGATATTTTATTATTTTCTGATAGTTTATTTTTTAGTTTAATTAAAATTTTTCTTGAATAAATATCTGCAATTGTTGGTTGTTTTTTTTTTAACTCATCTCGGAGGAAGGAAGACAAAACAAAACTTCTCATACCTTTTTGGTATTTCTATACTCTAATAAAGAAAAAAATTAGTCATTCTCTCCCCCAACATTTTGTTTAGTCCCCCCCCCCCCTGAAACAAGGGGCTGGCTACATTCCTGATTACTCTCATTCCACGATTTTGAAGTTTTTTAAGCATGTTTAATTTATTTAAATTTAATAAATATAAAATAGATGGCTGAATAATTATGGTATTGTATGCAATGATTTTGATCTCAGTTTATAAATTCTAGGAAATTTTACTAAAATAATAAATTTTTTTAGATATTTTTTTATAAATATAGTTAAAGTGGCTATCACAATTTAAATAATTATCTAGTTGAAATCCCAAGTATTTGACCTTAGAAATAACTTCAATGTGTTTATTTTTAATGTTAAAATTGTTTAACATGTTTTTAACATCGTTAAAATTATATTTAAATTTCGTTGTTAAAACCATTGCTTTTGCTTTTTTTTTACATTTAATTTTAGATTATTTATATTTAAGTATTTATTCATAGAGAATAATGAAGCATTCATTTTCTTTATGGCTTTATCCAAATTCGCATAACTACAGGCTATTAAAGTATCGTCAACTAAAAAGATTAATAAATTCACAACCAACAAAAAGTTCAATATCATTAATGTATAAAATAAAACATAGAGGACCAATAAGCTACCTTGGGGAATCCCCATATCATTATTTGTGTAATAGGATGTTTGGTCAGCAAAATGAACTCTGCTTGCGATTATTTAAATAGTTGCTAAACTGATCCAATACTCTACATCCAATACCATATTCTTTCAATTTAGATAACATTTGCCAGTCATTTGTCTCAAAAGCTCTTTTTTAAGTCCAAAAATACTGCTACATGTTTGTTCATCTAATTTAGTTTGAATGTTACAAAGCGTATATTGTAGTGCTGATTTATAGAAAAATGTTTTTCTAAAATGACTGGTTACATATCAGGATCGAATTTTCAGAAACATATTTCGTTAATTGATTATAAACTATTTTTAATTTTATTATGTACCAAGGCAATTTTGATTCGCACGCCACTGTTAAAGTTGAAAATTATTTTTGTGTTGAAAAATAAGCACCTTTCTTAACTGTCACTGAAATATCTCAAATAGTTGCAAAAATATTAGTTAATTACTTTTTTTATCTCTAAAACTTTAGTATTTTTGTAATTGAATATTTTTGAACTATAGTTTATAAAATGAATTATCATTAATTTTAGTAATAATAATAGTAATCATCATATAAACATTTCAATTAAATAAATCTACATAAAATTTAAGTATTCTAACATTATTTAATAGACTTTTTATTGTAATAACTTTTATACATCAAAATAAACATTTTTTTTACCTTGTATTTAGTAGAACACTATTTTTTCTTTTTCAGTACATTTACAGCAATGAAACATTCGAAAAACCATTCTTTTGTACATACATTAAAACGTCAATGTTCACTCTGTACTTATTGGGGTTCCTTTTTTGGCCCCCTTGGAAAGACAACTGTTCCAAACCGCCGAATTACATATATTTAGAAAATGATTTAGATGATGATAATTACATTACCGATGCGAACTGTGGAAGCAGTCTCAGCAACCCCGTATACGTGCCTGTCAAAACACCCGATAGAGAGCATTGCGAAAGAAGTTCTGGTACCGAAAGTGATGATTCAACGGTAATAAAATTACTAGAGAATGTGTAGTTTGAGTATTTATTTATTTTTTACGCATTTCTGTCTACAGCTGTCTTGAAAATGTTTCCGTACTCATTGATAATTTATCTAGGATGTAAATTGATACAGCGACATGTCTGTCATTAAACTGCAAGTGTTAAAGCTGTTTTAGGGGGGAAAGTAGCAAAAACAGTTTCTCTTATTTTCCAGAGAAGATGAATGGTTGTATTATTGGTTTTAGACCATGCAGAACTTTTTATGAATAACTTTTTTTCTAAAAATGAACCAAAAAGTTTTCTATATGATTCTAACTTAAATAGACATACTGTCACAAAAATATTTAATAATATGACATATTTTTTAAAAATTGTATTCCATATATTGTTTGTTTTGTCTTTTTCTTTCCACTAACAGTATTTAATTCACAGTTCCTAAGTCATTCCCAAAACCTACTCATTTAACCCTATAACACAAGAGTTTATTGAACAAAAATTGTCTCTTTAACTTTTAAAGGGAAGTAAAAGGTTTAAAGTCTGTCGACCACATACATTTATTAGGTTGGGTTGCAAGCGCTTTCGACCTAAAAGGTGATCATCAGACAAAAAAAATTTTTTTTGTAAGTGATTTTTTGCCTGATGATGACCTTTTAGGTCGAAAGCGCTTGCAACCCAACCTAATAAATTTATGTGGTCGACAGACTTTGAGCCTTTTACTTCCCTTTAATCTACTTCGGATCACTTTGAGATATGGATAATATTTGGTCTTTAACTTTTATGTTCCATAGATATTAATTAGTAATTAAATAGGCAAATTATAACGCCATAATCTAAAGAATAACACTGTGATATAATAAAGAATTTTCTCTATTTGTCAACCCTACCCCCATTATTAATGTATCTTTTATGTACGAGCCTCGATTTCAGTTCAGGCCGTGACGTCACCGTGCAGTCTTCCGTCCGGTTTTTGTTCAACCCAGTGACGTCATGGTTTAGTTTTCCGTCCGACTAGAAATCAATCTGGCCTCCCCTTGTACGTTGTTTAGAACGTTATTCTAAACAAAATAAATTATTTAAAACAAAATTTAGGTAAAGAAATAATTTGTTTAAACTTGACTATTAAATTTTGATGTCCAGGTAAGATCGGTGCGCTTTAACAAACTCGCAGAAGTAAGACATATGTCCGATAGCGATGCTACTGAAGCTCTTTTAGCACGACTTTCGTACCAGGCTAGTATGAGGGCTAGCGAGATGGCTAGAAGGGCTGCAAATAAATTGCCGATAGTCAGGGTGGCGAAGATTGCGCTTATTTTTTGCTTATTGGTAAGTTTTAGTTTAAATTTCTCACTAGTAAGGTTGTAAGTCAAAATAATACTAAAAACATCTTATTTTCTGAGATCCTTTGATTTATTAAGAATTGTAATCTTATCTTGTTTTGTTTTGTGTGAAACTATCCCGTTAATTAATATTTTTTTGTTTATGTATATTAATATTAAGGATTTTAATTAACAAATTATAGAAATATGTTGTAATGACATAACAAATTATAGTTATTTAGATTTTCAATTAAAAAAAAATTAAAGAGCTTTTATTAAAACCAACAAAGTTTTATTTTAGTTTCTTTTTTATATTGAGTATGTTTTTACACCTTTATTGCTGTTTTTACATTATTGTCGTGCAACCAGTCCATCCCTGTTGTTTGTTTACCTTCACCACTAACGCTATGATCCGGATTATAGATGCTCTACTGTATATGGTTTTATTCATCTTTCTGTTAATTAACAATAACAAATTTTCAACTTATATAAAATTGCACTGTACAATAGTAAATGGCTTCTCTAAAAAATGAAATATCTGCTGATGTGGAAAATAAAATGTCTTTCGTTGAGGAGAAAGGAAAGATAGAGAGCAAAGAACAGGGTCAGACTGGTTGCACGATATTATTAATGATTGTAATCCTTAATAAACTAAGATTATCTGAATTCTTTTGACCCTTTAAGTGTGCCTATTGTTATTGTATATTAGGTAAACCTACGTCAGTATTTAACAAAATTTTAGTGTTATATTTTTTTTAAATAATGCAAACGCGTTTTTAGTGGTTTGTAGCAAATTATACATACCAAGTAGCCTTGTCTGAAACAGAAGCAGGAATCGTGAACGTTCTATCATCGGCCTCAAGTTTATTTACATTAATTCTTGCGTCCATATTTCCATCAAATCCGAGCGACAGGTTCACTTTATCAAAGTTGGTAGCAGTTTTTCTCAGTATTACCGGAATAGTAAGTTCTAATATGTAAAACAATATGTTTGTTTTAAAGTGTCGCAGCTCAAAATATGACGTTGTAGCACAATTATTTATAGAGTAAAATTGACACAAATCAAAATATGATGTGCGAAGAACGGAGAGTTCGAGAAACTTTAAAAAGAACTTGTGATACTTATACAGATGAAAAGTGTAAGGTTTTTATTAGGGTTTACCGATATAAAAGAAAAACAGGTGCTTTTTGAGTTGTGTCACTTTTGAAGAGAGGTTGCGATATTTATTTATTATTCTTTTAGGTATTGGTTAGTTGTTCTGATCTCACGCTCGAATCCAAGCTGCCTTTCGGGGCAGTGTTGTCGCTATTTAGCGCATTTTTCTATGCGACTTATTTGGTTTTTCTTAGACGGAAAGTGGATCATGAAGATAAAATAGGAATACCATTGTTTTTTGGTAAGTTTGTTGAAGTCTTTTAAAAACATTGTAAAACTTTCGTTTTCGTTATTTTTTAGGTTTCGTAGGGCTGTTCAATCTCATCCTCCTTTGGCCGTTGTTTTTCTTTCTTCATTTTAGTAAATTGGAAGTTTTCGAATGGCCTACTAGAGAGCAAATGATGTTGCTACTGTTAAACGGCTTGTTAGGAACAGTAATTTCAGAAGCCCTTTGGTTGTGGTAAAAAATACGTTCGAAACTCTAGAATATCGAAATCGAATTATTTCTTATTGTTTTCAGGGGTTGTTTTTTGACATCCTCCCTCATGGCGACTGTCGCTATGAGTCTGACAATACCAATGACCATGTTAGCCGACGTGCTGCTAAAAGAAGTGCCCTATCCCATTCTTTTCTACACCGGCACTTTGCCCGTGTTAATAGCCTTTCTAGCCGTCACGGTTCTGTCACACTACGAGAACTGGGATCCTGTGTTCGATTTGCTACAATGTGCCTATCAAAGTTTCTGCAAAAAGAGCAGGATAATACGGTAAGCATACTTCATTATCGTATATACTGTTACTGTAATAACTGATGACTATAATTAAATCTAATTTCCTTAAAAGCTATGTTAAACCCGAAATATAATCAAAAACGCTGAGGAAAATTTTAAAAATGTTTTGCCTCAAATGATACAGAAGTTTACCGGTAAAATATTTAATAAGATCAAGATCTTTACAGACGGGCTAGTCTAGAGTACTCGGTATATGGTTTTTGATTGTTATACTTAGTTAAAATTTTGTCTGTTTTGTTTTAAAAATAACAGATCTAATCGTAACGATGAATTAAATAGTAATCTCGGCACTAGGGGAAATCCTATAGTAATTTTTGGTGAAATTTTGGAATTTTGTACCTATTTGTTGTTTAGGTCACCGAACACGAATCTGAGGATTGCCAACAAAAATTTTCTAAGTAAATATGTTTTTTCTCAAAAAAAAAAACGAACTTTATCGGTCTTTTCAAAAAAAAAAATACTCCTAAATATGTAGTTTACGTGAAAGTTGACTCTATATGAAAATAAAGCCAATAAAATTTCATGTATCAATCAATTTTTTTTTTCTTGGACCAACGGCTCAACTGCGAGAGCAACGCGAAAATGAGTGATGAAAACAAAATAATCTCAATAACTGAAGCATGCTTGAAAACCGGAATATCATTTCATTGCTGCGGGGATAGATAGTCTCTTTCAGACCTGCCAGAGGATAAGAAACTCATCTGGAACCCCCAATTGGAAAAACCATGAACAAAGCCAGATTATTTGTCTAGACCCTCAGAAGGATACATGGCAAAGCATGGGGAATCAGTCCTCAACTGATCTATTGGATTTACCAAACAATGGTAAATGTACGGGTCCGTTGTCTAGTGGGACTTCAACGGACGACTGGGGCAAAACTGGCTGGAATCCAGCGGCTTGCGTGCCTCGCCATCACTGGGGCAATATTAACCACACCAGCGCGAGCCATGGAGACCATGCTGGACCTAACTCATCTCCTCATTTTGCTGGAAAGGGAGGCCAGAATGGTATCCTATAGATTCCTGAAGGTGGGTAGTCAATGCAATGAAGATCTGCGATGGGACAAGATGGGGCTGATAAATGAGATTAATAACTATCACATCCTCGGCTTGGTCTCAGACTCGCTAGTTCCCCGACAACACATAGAAAACTCATACAGTATCCTCATTCCAGAGAGAGATAGAGGAAGACGTATGGTGCAGAGAGGATAAAATCCTCTCCCAGGCGGATTATGAGCTGTACACGGACGGCTCCAAAAGAAGCCAAAAGTTGACATATCAATAAACCTAGCCTCTCTGGCCACGTTCTTCCATGCAGAGATTATTGCTAGAAATTCTACCAACATCGTCGGGTACCGCTCTCCATTCACAGTTACCGTGCAGCCTAGAACTTGTTTGAAAAATATGAAATAATCACTCTGCTAGCTGTGATGGCGTACCATAGTCACCCAACAGCGATCGTTTTGCTTATTTACGCCATCATCGAGACGAAAGTCTGCAGCCTTTAGGCGTTGCATTACCTGCATCTTATACGAGTACAAGTGCAATTCCAGCGCCAAAACGCTTTAGAGGGACCAACGGGGAAGGCCTAATACCGCCTTTTTGTCTGTACACTGAAAACTGATTTTCTAGTGGGTCTTGAATAAGGCGACCTGTAAAAATATACCTGTATCCAGCTTGTTTTACTTCTGTCCAAAATTGCTTAACTGTATTTATTGTTAATAAAAATCCGTCAAAACTGATCATAACCTGAATTTAGAGCTGTGGCAACCTCTTGATTCTTATCACAATATACTCTCTTGTAGGGATTTGGACACGTATACTATTTAAGGCATCGAAAAGATTATTCATGGTCTTTACAAAGAACGCAGTATTTTCGGCAGTGCTAGAATTTAACTGCCCTGTTCTCGTAGATGTTTTAATAGCAGTTGCAACCCTGTGACTTAATAATTGTGTGGCTAATTTAACACTCATTTTTTGAAAGGCATTTGGGTGTCTTTCTATAACTTTTAAAAGAACTTTTCCAGTTTTACTGCAGTTATCAATTTCATACACTTTTTTCAAGTCTGAAAAACTAATAAATTTTTCATTATATAAGAAATTATTTTCAATAAAATTATTACTGATATATTTAAAAAGATGAGGAACATCGTAAAAAATAAATATTTTTTCTCGTTTATAAAAAAATATGGACGATCTTTATTTGCCCCGAGCAATTTAATTACTTTTTGATTGGTCGTTAAAAGATCACAGACGATACCAACTGGTTATAAATTAATATTAATTAACATTGTTACAGCCTTAATAACAATCGATTTTAGAGAAACATAATTTGCTCCATTTTCAGATAAGAAATATCCAATAGGTATTTTCCATTTGGAGAATACTCCTCTGATCATTAACTTGAGTTGCAGCTACTGCTTTTCTTTGATTTCGTTCCAGATTTTCAAATCCTTCAATGATATCGAATTTAGAAATATATTCAAAAAAAATTTTTATGGACATCTCATCAAACATGAGTACGCATTTTTTCTGTAATGGAGACATAGATTCTGTTTTTACATGCTTTGATTTAAATTATGTAGAAGAACTTCATCTGCAAATTTAAAAATATCTTCATTTTGAAACTTAAGGACAACGTTTTTTCACCTATATTTTCCTCTACTGATGTTGAAATTTCAACGATTGCTGAAATTATTCTTTTTTTACATAAAATAAACTGTTGCGACACATTAACACTTCAAATCGAGAGGTAATCAAGATTATCAAGATTATTCTTAAAAACCGTAATATTACTGACGTTGTTAAAGTATTCAGTGCTACGCAGGAAATGGTTGCTGTTGCTGAAGAATCAATTTCTGGTTCTGGTGAAAATTTTTGTTGGCAAAACTTTCCTCTGGTGACTCTTTTTGAATTCTTAGATGCCTAGACTATAGATCATCTAATATTTATTAATGCATTTATGAGTAATTGCAAACATTTCAGGTTCAAAGAAGCTTCATCTGAGCAAACCGAGGCCCTCATAGGTATAAACAATGAACACGAAGCATAAACTAAATTACTAAAAAAAATTTTCAACTGGAATTGTTTTCCTCGTCTATTGATAATACCGACTATGGTGCTTTACAAATAAATGTGATCGTCTATATTATTTTTGTTAGAAACGTGATTATTATAATATTAGGATCATAATATACAATATTTATAACTTATGTAATAATATGACATGTTTTGTTTTTATCTTTTTATTTTTTTCGTTTTAATATTTAACAAAAATCTTAGTTGTTCTTAGTCTATTATAAGATTGTAATAATTCCACTGGTACATTCCAAGATTTTGTCCATTATTGAAAATATAGTATTCAGATTAATTATGTTAGTTTTAATCCTTCAAATCGAATCTGTTCTGAACCATATGGACAAATTTTATGACTGCAGGCAGGACTACTCTACATCCAAAGGTCAGTCTATCTTATTGTATTTATTCATTAATATAGTCACATTTGGGTGCTGCCAAATGGACACGCTCCAGGATGTGTATAATTAAACAAAAAGGTATGTACTTAATAGATTCGATAAAAGGTTTTATTATATTTGACAAAATACGAAGGTACCAATTTTGAGTACCGTTAATACACTGGATATAAAAAACAACAGAAAATTTTCATCTGGCAACACTGGCCTGGCTACCTTTCAGTTGTTCTTTGTTCAGTAGCGTGCACGGTCAGAAAAAATTTTCGCAGTTTCTCAAAGCGTTTGTTAAACTTGTTTTTATTTTTTGGTGTTTCTGTTAAATTTTATTTTGCTCGTCTACGAGATGGTGTTCTGGAAACCTTTTGAGGTAAATGTAGATGCTAATGAATTGCAGGTTAATGATGAAATTTCAATAAATGATGAAGTAGAATTAAATGCAGTACAATTTAATGATGAAATACGTATTAATAATGCAATTCATACTAATGACAATCAAGATGAAACACAATCTTGGGAATTCAAAAATCAGGACTTACATATTCAAGTTCAACAGGTCATTTTAAATATGTTTGCTTGTCTTAAATCAGAAAATCCAAATATTTCACAAATAAAGTTAAAAGAATATGTAAGTTAACAAAAATGCTCTTTTCCACAATTTATTTCGCTATTAAACGAGGCTATTAAAAATAGTGAAAAAAGAGAAAGTGTCGTCAGTCGTCGGATAGATGATGCATCTAAAGATGTGATTTGACGAACGGTTTACAGGAAGTATAAAGAAAACCAAGTCCCAACCTTAGAGGTACTTTTTACAAAATTACAAGATTTTGAAGATTTCTAATATAAATCATTAGAATCACTTCGACAAATTTTAATAACTTGTGGTTTTAGATAAGTATAAAAAGTTAGGTAGTCGAATGTGCATTATGGAATCGCGTCGAATTGTGGAACTACATCAAATTTATCCAAGGGAAATTTTTAAATTTAGAAATAGCAATAGAAATATAGTTTATTTAGATGAAACATGCCTCAATTTTTAGTGTTATACTTCCCATGATGTTTACGCTCTTCACTCTTGGATTTGAATAGTGTAAGAGTGCGTCGATTGCGCCGCCATTTTCTCAGGATCAATTTAAAAGTTGTCAAATAATGTGCTGTTGTTGCCAATACTTTTTTTGGTAGTCTTCTGCTAGTGTTGTATCCAGACAGTTGTTAATTGATTTTTTTTCTAGTGTTTGTCTCAACATATTAGACGCCTGCTTTTACCAGCTGTTATATAATGATAAACAATTATTATATTATCAAGTTTATTTATTTGAAAAACCGTGATCTATACAGATTAAATTGTTCAATGATCGTACTATTGAAGCACAATAATATTCAAGATGGCGATAATAAACAATAGTTCATGTTCTTCAGTAATTTTTATTGCTTTGCTATTATAGAATGTAGAGGTAAGGAGAACTATCTCTGTATACAAAAAGTGTCCCTCAAAATGTATAAAATTAAGATGGCGCTTCTGTACCAGAGGGACGCCGACAGTCGATAATGCAGATCACACAAAGACATTAATGATGTATCTAGTTTTTATGAAGACTAGAGAGAACGAGGCGAATCGGCAAAGGTCAAATTTCAAATCTCCGTCCTCCAAGTTCGCGAAATTGACTGTAGTTGGCATGTCGAATAACAGCGGTGTCAATTTTCTATGGAAGTCAATGTAAAATGAAGGGATTTGTTTAAAAATTGGTGAAAAGAATCAAAATAATATGAAAAAAAAGTACCTGAATACAAGTAACATGAGTTACAAAAAAACATTAAAAAGCAAGATTTACGTCGTTCCAGATTGTAAAACAGGATAAAAATCAAATGTATAACTAAAGAAAACACAAGAAGAAATCAATTCAATGTCGTTTTAAAGCTTCTAATGCAAGCAAAATAATGTATTTATGTCTATATATAATATTTATTGTAAACTAGTAAATATGTATCTTAAGAAGTGTAGTTTATTTTATTACAAGTTTCTATATTATAAAATTTTACGGTCATAGATGCTGACTTACAAACAACAATAATTACGCATTAAATTTAACTTATTAGAAAAGAAAATTAATTTTTATAGAGTTTAAATGTTAGATAAAGAGTTGCTACTGTTATTTTTTTATGAACCCCAATTGTGTCATTGTAAATGTTTTTTATAGGATACTAAACGTTTAGAACAGTGGCAGCATATATGTATATCGTTCCTAGTGCCGATAAAGAACTTTCTAGAGATGATGGATGCTGTTCTATAATTTTTAGAAGATATCAAATATGAAACTATTTTTACTGATGATACTGTTAGCAAAATAAAAAGGGGAAAGCTGAAATTAAAGGATGAGGTAATACCATGTACATTCCCAAATCTCCCTTTATACTTGTATTACAACAATAAAAAATCTGTTAACTGTGTTTTATTTTACTCTTAACTATCTATGGGTTCGATTAAAAAAAAAATTGCCACAAAATTTCAGCATTTAGGAAAACTTTTCGAATTTGGTCATTCCTACCTAATTTGTATTTTATATAGATAAAATTAAATAATTTATCAATTAAAACATGCAAGACTTATTTAGAAATAAATACAACAGTATGTTCTGTGCTTTATTTAGCTATAAACAAGTTTATTTTTATTATTTTGACAAACTTATGTATAATTCCTATAAGAAGCCATGTATTTTGAACACCGTATGCAGTACCAGCGCCCATACGGTTAATTATAGAAGCTCAATTGGCATGCGTTTTTTGGGACCGTATTTTGAGTATGCCGTTTCGCCTCATCTATAGTCTTCATAATACAGTTATATTTCATTAATTACGATCCAGATTGCCTTTTCATTACAATGTAGATTAGGTAAGAAATTACGTATGGATGAGCAATGTAACTATATACATCATTTGTGTGATATGCATTATCGACTGTCGGCGTCCCTCTGGTACAGAAGCGCCATCTTAATTTTATACATTTTGAGGGACACTTCTTGTATACAAAGATAGTTCTCCTTACCTCTACGCTCCATAGTCATTACCCACTTTTGATCATTTTGTTTGGAATGCCTAATAGTTGCCTAGAGTTGCTCGTTTTACAAGAAGGCACTTTCTATTTTTTAAATTGGAGTACTTGAAGTTAAAGGTGTGTAATAAAAAGAACATACATTGTGTCAGACCTCCCTCTTGCGAGGTATATTAAAAAAGTGTTTTTTTACATAATTGTACACCAAAGTGCCTTTTTTTCGTTCATTAAATTCATGCATTCTTCCGCCGCTTATGCCTCAATTTTAAGTGTTATACTTCCCATGATGTTTATGCTCCTCACTCTTGGATTTGGATAGTGTAAGAATGACTCAAGTATTTCGTAAGTTTCGCGCATCGATTGAGCCGCCATTTTCTTGGGATCAATTAGGCATTCCAACGACCTGTCAAACAATAGGTGCCAGTGGGAAATTCTTGTATATTTAAGGGGGGTAGCGACATAGTCTTGCAACTTGGACGCTATTTTTATTCGAAGTAGTACTCGCCAAGCCTGCCAATTTATGAAGAAATGTATAGGTGGGTTTTTTAAATATTATTTTTATTGTATTTGACATAAAATATTTAAATGTAATCCATTATTCATGATTTTACGTAAAGTAGATAGAATACACCATATGTCGCCACCCTTAGATATACCAAACCTGCCCACTGGTAATTCATTTGTTTGGAATGCCTAATTTAAAATTTGTCAAACCATGTGCTGTTGTTAGGTTGTTAGGTAGTCGAATGTGCATTATGGAATCGCGTCGAATTGTGGAACTACATCAAATTTATCCAAGGGAAATTTTTAAATTTAGAAATAGCAATAGAAATATAGTTTATTTAGATGAAACATGCCTCAATTTTTAGTGTTATACTTCCCATGATGTTTACGCTCTTCACTCTTGGATTTGAATAGTGTAAGAGTGCGTCGATTGCGCCGCCATTTTCTCAGGATCAATTTAAAATTTGTCAAATAATGTGCTGTTGTTGCCAATACTTTTTATGGTAGTCTTCTGCTAGTGTTGTATCCAGACATTGTCAATTGATTTTTTTCTTTCTAGTGGTTGTCTCCACAAATTAGACGTCTGCTTAACAGCCGTTAATGATAACTTATAAACATTTATATCACTTATACGTGCCAAGGTTCTTTATTCAATTGGAAAACCGTGACCCGTACAGATCAAATTCTTTAATGATCGTACAACCTATTCCTATACTTCCCAAATAATATTCAAGATGGCGATAATAAAGATATTTCATGTCCTCCAGTAATTTTTATTGCTTTGCTGTATATGGAGGGTTCAGAAGCCAATCGGTATAAGTCAGTCAATAATGATATAAGATGATTAAGAATTTATACGATTTTTTTATTGAAAAGTGGATACAAAACAATTTTCTTGAAGATAAAAAAATCTAAAGTTAAATAGTTTAAAAAATAACTTTCATTTAACTCAAAAACTGTATTTTCAGCAAAACTATGACTTACACTGATTGGCTTCTGAACCCTCCCTATATTAATAATTTTTTTATCAACAAACACTAGTAGGTAGACGCTAAAAATTTGACAGGTTTTTTTTGGCAACTTTTTTATAATTTTCAGCTTTATTTTATGGACATTTTTAATAATATGGTGAAGAATGCTGTAAAGTATATTTTGTAGTAAAATATATAATGCAAGTAAATCAGAAGCCGAAAATTACAAGTAAGTTTATGAATTAATATATTTTTAAAATGTTTGTTTTACGTATTCAAATTATTTACTTTAGTAGATGAAGATTACTTAGATTTGAGAGATCAAAGTGAAACTTTGGATAGTAAGAAGAGTTCGACTGGGTAAGCATTAGTAGCAAAAATAGTCTTATAGTGATTTAATTTTGTTTTCGTTAGACAAAGAAGTTCTTCGAGGAAAAACAAATCACCAGTGCGTACTTTAAATTTAAAAAACGAAGGTCTACATTACGAAAAAGAGTAAGCCAAAGATATTTCAACGATTTTGTACTTACTAAAATTTAGTTATGATCCTTCCAGGCTGATCAATTGTGGATTAAGAAAACTTGTAACGTCCTATAATAACACAGCTAATCAACACCAAAGAAGTTATGGCGCCAAACGAAAAAATTGGAATACAGCACACACTTGTGATCCTAGATTTCAACGGTACGTGTACTAAAGCCCTTTGGTCTGTTAACTTTACCACCTTATTGTTATTTTTGCTAGATATGTTGAAAATGAACACAAACAATGTCTAAAATCGCAATCGGAATTGTCCGTTATCAAAACACTTAATATGGAACCCGTATCTTCCAGTACACCTCTCTTTAATAATAGGTACGTATGTAAAATAATATAGATGTCATAGGTATCCAAATTTATTGTGTAAATTGATTTATTTCAGCAATAATTCACCAAATGAGAACTCAAAAGAAAAAGAATCAGCAAAAAATCGTACTACACAGTTATCCAATAATGATTCAAAAGAATTTCTTGAAGTTCCTATAAAAAAAAGTGTAAAGAAACAAATTTCTGGAGAAACCGATAATATTGAGTAAAGTTCAACACATTTACGAATCTATAAAGTTATTCACATGTATATTCTTTAGTACTAAGCTCTAGGGAATCAAATTAGAAACGGCTAGTGACTCGGTTTCGAGTCATAAGCGTGGATCAAGTTTCACAGTTGACTCGCATCCGAGTCGTTAGCAGTATTACAGAGGAATTTTGGATATAATTTTAGAAAAAGTGTATGTAACGAGTTTCTTTTATCATGCACCAACATTGCTATATATAAAACGTAACAGTTCCTAGGGCCTCTAAAATAAACTTGAATCGTTTTAATGAAAATAGCAAGCAGAACGAAACTTGTATATATTTTCGACATGTCTACAAAAGTGCTAGATAAAACTAGAATGACCACTATGTTAACTATTCCTAGCTTTCGTAAAACTCTCAAATATCAGCTACAAAGTTGGTCTACAAGAGTGGTCTTCATTACCAAACCTGGGAAAACGTTTTACGCAGAGACCGAATCTTTTAGATCAGTCAGCCTAACATCATCTCTAAAAAAAAACTTGGAGTATTGCAAAGTAACCATATTATGTTGGGAATGGGGTAACTGCGACCTTCTGCCGCTAATACAACAAGGAAATATGTCTCAATGCCTATAACAACCCTTCCAATTTTCTCTTAAGGGAGTGTAGGATTTGGAGTGGCTTTAAGTTAGGTAAATCCCCCTCTTCTCTTTGATATACTCCTAGTTATAGTGCACTTTTGTTATAGTACGTCACATTCAGACAATGTGAATGGAGGTCTTGTCCTCCTTACAGATTCTGCACTCACTATCTTTTACTACCCTCAGTTTACTAAGGTGTCCTTTGAGTCGGCGATGCCCAGTAAGGATCCCTGTTACAATCCGTAGCCTGTTCTTGCTCGTGCATATACAAGCTTCCGATCTTTTCTGGTTATATTTAACCAGAAGTATCTTAATCTGTCTTAGTCCCAAGAGATGATTCTACTACCTAATTCTTTTTTAATATCCTAATAGTGTATTACTGCTGATACCGGAGAAACGCAGACCATTTTTGGACTGATTACGTAAGTGCTCAGCTGCTTGTCTATCGGACATGATGATCTCTTGTCTAGGATAGTTTCTCTCGATATTAAACTGGATACACTTTTCAATGGCGTAAATTTCCGCCTGGAAGATGATTGGGTATTTCCAAACTTTCTGAGTGCCTTGCTAGGCCCATACTCCTATTCCAGTTCCTTCTATGGTTTTGGAACCATTGAATCACATGACTTTCGGTGGCAAAAACGATGGATACTTTTTTGCAGCCCAGCTCCAAGGTTTTGAAGTTTTTCACAGAACTGTACTTTCTTATTTCATCTTGGATCATATCCCAAGTATTTTCGGTCCTAAGGCTAATAGACTTTCGTCTGATTACTTCGTTCTGATCATTCTATATCGTGTTATTTTTGCCACATTATCATTAAATCTAGAGGGGTGAGGTTTAATATCACCTCCATTGCGATGGTAGAACAGATTCTCATTGCACCGGTGATGCAAACACGTAACGAAGTAACCATACACCCAGAATGCTATTTTAATAGGCTTAACAATCAAAGGAAATTAAACAAATATAACTAGGAGTATTCCTGGATATAGAAGGAACCTTTAGATCAGCTTCGTACAGTTTAATACTGGAATATATCCAAAGGCATGTCGTAGCACACTGCATATTACGCAGTGGGTTGAATTCATGCTTAATCTTTTTCATACAACAAGAGAGACCTCAGTTAACAAGGGACGCCAGCAGGGAGGACTTTTATCTCATGTAGACATTAGTGGTTCAGAATCTCTTATGGGAGTAAAGAAAGAAAACCTATCTACTAAAGTATTTGCATACGATATAATCATCGTAGTAAATGGCATATTTGGAGCACTAAATATCATCGAAAGATGGTGACTAAAAGAAAGTTTGTCGACAAGCCAATATCCATTGTTGCATTCACAAGAAAAAATAACCTACAAATAATGACGGAGCTTTATGTGTACCGGACAACATCTAAAAATAGCAAATAAAGTAAAATAACTTGGGATCTCGCCCTTTGCAGTTCTCATTTACTAAGCTTCTTCGGCCATATAGAAAAAATAGCAGGGAAAGCTGTAAAAACGCTAAGAGCCTGTATATGGATGGTAGGGAACACATGGGGGGCTTAAACCAAGTATGATCATACTAAAGGTGTGTATAGACAACGCGTCGAGCTCGGGTCGCGCGGTTGAAATACGACACCATACAAATCTGACGAACCTTGGCCCGTTGTTGCTCTGGGTTCGGCCAAGGCCTGATCCGTTATATCTATATGCACCTTAAGGTTGTAGTATCCGTTCTAACCTAATAATCAGTTATATAATGGTACCACAAGGCTAAAAGAATATCTAGCAGAAAGTTAGATAAGGTACAGAAAGACTGACTTGTGTAATAACAACCCTGCTACAATGGAACTACTGCTAGGTCTTCCTCCATTACACCTTGTGGTAGAAAAAGGCTATGGAAGCAACAAACAGGCTATTCACAAAAGGATTTGGATGGAAATTTTCAGGAAAAGGACACTATTAGAAAATCACTTTTGGATGGATGGCGGGACATGCGAAGGAGTATTGGGAAATTAAAAAGCAGAACTTTTAGCCAGGGACCGAAATATGTTCAAGCTCTGCTTGGAACTTCCTGGATTCATGCAGTCATAGATCTAAGAACAGAAAAATTCAACTACTAAAGCTTGGCATGATAGAACTTAAGACTCTAATACAACTCTTCATGGGACACTTTGGCCTTAGAAGAATTCTAAATATCTTAGGGATATTTTATGGTTCGCTATAGAAAATAAGACCAGATATTCTTAAAAACATTAAGAATATTAGCTTGGTGAGATTAAAACAGAGGGACAAATAAATCTAGACATTCATTAGTACCAGTAGGCTTTAAATGACATTCTAACTCAAATAGGTAGATAGAGGAACGTAACAGATACGAAGACGGTCGTAAAATGTACAGGGTTTGCTATCATTCTCGAGTCATACTAGGTAACCTAAGAACACATTTTTTGGAAACTTGTTAGTATATTTGTTGGTAAATGATAAAAGAAACGAACAGTATTAAGTATTGTTTTTGTCGTTTTTAGGAAAAATGTTACAACGATAAATGGCGTTAATACATACAAGGCAGTCGCGTAAGTTTTTTTATATTCGAGCAATTTTTAACAATAAGAAAATTACAAAAGTCCATCAAGGTACTACATATATTTTGATTTTCTTTATCTTTTTTTTTAATTTGTAGGAATGACCCATTAAAACGAAACATAGATCCTCGATTAAAAAATAAATACTCGATATTAAAAAAGGGACCATGGAAAAGGTCGTGGACAATTCCGGTTTTTGCTTCAAAGTATAATCTAACAAATAAAAATCATTGCGATGATTCAGACAGACAAACGTATCTATACGATGATGGCAGCGAATTGGATTCGTCTTATGTAGAGGGCAAGCATAAACAGTTTGTAAAAAAAGGTAAAAATTACATATTTTTCTTTTGTTCTTAAACTACTCAATATTTGTTAATGAATTTTGTATACTAATTTACAACTTCTTTTACAATTAAATTCCCCACAAATTTATATATACAAAAGTTTTTCATCTGACCTTTTGTTTAAAATTTAATGCAAAAAAACTGTTTGAATTAGTTTTTTATTAATAGATAAGGGAGCTAGCATACAATTCGATTAAATTCGAATATGTTCATCAAAACATTTATTTAAATACACCAGCCAAATTTCAGAGCTTCACAACTTTTAATTTTTTCGAATTTCTTGACCTATACGACCGCGCGGCTTAATCGCGTCGTAGTCATACAGTATTCGCATTAAAAATACTCTCTTTGGGGAACTGTAACGGTAAATATTTTAAAACTCTTGTTATTTTATAACCTCCTAATTTGTATAGTTGTTCCCACCTCTAGTCGTCAAAATAAAATAACTGAAATGATCGATTTTGAATAACTTGGAAGAGGTCCAAACTTGCGTTGGTATAAGTTTTCTTCCTTATATTTTCTAGGATATTCAAATATTTGTTATTTCGGACTCTGACACAGCCGATTGGGTCATCTTCTATCTTCTCTGGCGTTGACATCAAGTTCTTTTCTCTCAGATATCTTTGCCGTCGTTGAGTGTTGAGTTTTTCAATCAATGATCCTTGATAAAACAAAAATTCTGCACACTTTTCATCAATAAAAATAAATTGTAAGGAAAGTAACGTTTTATAAATGTAAAACGATTCTTTTTAGTTACAACTTTCTATAAACTTAGATACGTTGTGTAAAAGTAAAAAATACGTGAAAAAAAAATTAAAAAACTAGTCCAAAACACACTTCAAATTCGCTGGTCGTGCACACACGAAAAAAATTGTTAATACTGAAATAAAACATTATTTACTCGTATATACTTTCATTTATTTAAATAAAGAAAAAGGATGATTTTTAGAAAATCTGTAAATGATGAATAATTTAAATAATTTATATGCGAAGAGTAGTGAAACATATAGCTAATTTATTTAAAGAATCAGGAAAACTTTCTTTTTAAATTTATTACAAGATAAGAAAAATTAAAACAAAAATGGAAAAAAATATCTGCAAAACTTTACCTTTATTTTCGAATCCAATCAGCAAAAAACTGAACACTCAACGACGCCAAAGATATCCGAAATAAAAGAAAATGTAAACTTGATCCTAAAAAATATTTGGTATTTTTCAAAATATAAGGCGGAAATATACCAACTCAAGTTTTGTCAATCATCGGCTATTTTATTTTGACGACTAGAGGTGGGAACAACTATTACGAATTAGAAGGTTATAAAATAACAAGTGATTTGAAATCGACGTAACGTTAACATTTAACGTTACAGAAAATGAAACCTAGACTAATTTCAGACTGATTGTCGGAAACCATTTTTACTTTCCTATCTGTATACACAGATAAGGAAAGTATACCCAGACAGCACACCAAATCCTTTGGATATCTACTGGACATCCTAATATCCACAGAATGTCCAGTCCATGATGGATATCTATTTTATATCCACGAGATGTAATTTATAGACATGCAAATGTCCATAAATAATAGTAATTATATAGCAAATTATTAAAAAATTACGCCATTGTGCTCACCATTGTGGCTAATAGTACCTACCGTTCAGATATTTAAAATTAATTTTTTTAAGGTGTATTCAATATCCCATGCACATCCACTAAATATATCAAAGTCTAGGCGCGAACGTAAACCATGGTGGATATCCACTAGATGTAATTTTTGATTTTGCTTACTAAGTATAGACGGCGATACCACTTTCGCTCGTTGAATATCTACTCATGCTCAACCCGCCGTAATTGAGTTCGATCGAAATTGGTATCCCAATCAGACTCCATTAGAGACTGGAGTCGAGAATTTCCATTTATTGCTGAAGAGTCCTAATAAGGATGACATTCTCCTTAGTGGGCAAAATCAAAGGCAGAGGGTTGAAAATATTTTTTATATCTGCTATTTTCTTTCAACGTTACTCAATAATCATTGGTTAATTATGAACCTCTACTAAAGATACCCATAAAATATTTGGCTGAATATCCGAATATCTTCTATATCCTGGAATATAGACGGACATTTGGATATCCATATTAGATCCACTGGCTATATTGGATATCCACAAAATATATTCTGTAGATATCTCTGGGATTTCTTGTATTGTCTGGAAGATACCCATTAGATATTTTGTTGGATATCCATAGAATATCTTCTATATTCTGGATATAGACGGACATTTGGATATCCATATTAGATCCACGGGATAATTCTGATATCCTGTTGATATATTGGATATCCACAAAAGATATTCTGTGGATATCTCTGGGATTTGGTGTGTTGTCTGGGTAGGAATCATGATTTTTTTCGACCTTGAGTTTTCGACGAATTATTACGTTTTCGGGTCCCCTGAATCCGTTTTGACTATTTTCGCGATGATGTCAGTCTGTAAACTCGATGACTCATGAACGAATACTGAGCAAAACACCTTTTATTTAAACTTAAGCTTTTTAAAATGTATCTATTTAGTTCATTCTCTTAAAAATTTACAGGGGTAACACAATAGGTTGTACAAAATAACCGGAAAAAGCTTGTAAGACACATCAGATTTTTCTAATCGGTTTTTAAAGGAAATTATAACTAGAAACGTACAAACATCAGCCGATTTTGAGCACTTGTCATTCCCCTAATCGTAAAGAGATCGACGCCAACAAAAAACGATTGTAAATTGTATTTGTTCAGGTATAATGCGGTGTTTGAAAAATTTCAATACAACTATTTTTCGGCCCATAGCGCTCGCGAACTAAAAGCAGTACAAAAAACGGGGGTGTGGCCTTCAGGCGACAGCAGGGCCGACTAGAGGGGGGGGGAGGTAGCCGGGACTAATTCCCGGGGCCCTGGATTAAATGGGGGCCCGGCAGCGCTGTAAGGGGGGCCCGACAACAGGTTTTTTTTGTTCTGCATAAGAAATTCGACACAAGATGAGAGAGGGAAGTTAAGTTTAAATTAGAAGAAGTAATAGAAGTAGTGAGAATAGTTTTTTGATGTGAGGCCTATTTTTTTTTAGAAGAAGTAATTGAAGTAGTGAGAATAGTTTTTTGATGTGAGGATCCTTTTTTTTTAGAAGAAGTAAGAAGGGGCCCGATCTAGAGAATTGTCCTGGGGCCCGACCTGGCTCTCGGCGGCCCTGGGCGACAGGACTTTCTAGATCTAGAGATATTGCGATACTACTGATATGATATTGGTATCGATACTTTTCCTTCGATACCGGATAATTTAGTACCCGGTACTTTGCTTTCGATACTTGACCCATATCGGTACTACTTTTGTTCAGATACTTTACTAGTATTTTGACATTACAGTACATAAAAAAATGTATTGTAGGATCACTTTATGGTATTATATGTCGGCTTACCTTATAACCTTTTTTAGGTTGATTCCGATAATTTACTAGTATCGCAAAGTAAATGGTGTCTACCCTCAAAGAGGAATCGATTATCAGCTACTTTTGGGTAGTTTTAACATGAAAAGCCTTGAATTTCGAAGAATTCTAACGTCTTTGACTTTTTTTATATAAAATCATGAATGGACTAATTGACTGTTCTGCTATATTAGCTAAAATTAATTTAAATGTTCTCCGGTATATTAACATTTAACTTATGCTATTAAGCTCACCTCGTAGGACCGATTCCACCGTTGTGTTAAACGAAGTTTAAAATGACACTTTACATTAACAATGTCATTTTAATCTCCGTTTAACACAACGGTGGAATCGGCCCTTAATGTCTGTGTAATTTAATTTGCATTGTATTTCATCAATATCTTAGAGAGTTTGAAAAGTATCAAAGCAGTTGCTTGTACCAATTATGACAATGCTTAAAAAATCTTTTTTATCTTTATTAGAAAATGTTCGATTTTGTCAAAAATAAACGTACTTTACTCTTGAGCAAAATTCATATTTTTTGACAAACCTTGTATACGGCTTTGAAAAATTTGATATCTGATGACTGTATAAGTTTTGGGTCATGCAGGACTTTTTTTCCTAAAATCAATAATAAAAATTTTTTTCATATGGTTCTAACTTAAGTAGACACACTGTATATTTGTCACCTTTACTATATTGATTTTTTGGGTTGCTCTATAAAGAGATTTATATTTGTTGGGCAATAAAAGCTATTATTATTATCCCTATCTAGAGGGTAAACTATAAATACTAGGTTAGTACTACCCTGAGGTTTTTTGTCATGAATATCCCTCTAGATAAAGACTGGACAAGAAATTTTGATTTTATACTAGCTATTTACACAGCATTCTCAAAAATGCTAAACGCTTCATTGCTTGGGCTATTATGCTAAAACTATAAAAGTTGTTCAGCTCTGAAATATCAAAAAGTTGATATATTTAACTACATGTAAATCTCCACCATAGGAGATGGTCAATAATAGTGACCCAATAAAAGAAATTGTAAAAAATATTGTTAACTACAAAACATTTTCTACTATGACTCACCATATTCATTATTTTATTGTATTTTTTGTTTCAGGCATACCGAGTCAACTTATGGCAATCTTATTCGTTCTAGGAGCTGCATGTGGAATATTTTTAGCGTCCATATTGATCTATTTAATATTTGGGAACAATTTGATTCAGATCTTCTTCAAGCCCAGAGAAGCACCTGAGCCAGGCTTCAAAAGTTATTTTAAAGTTTTAGGAGGGAGTATTATTTATGTTATAACTTCAATTTTTAGTACTGTAGGAAGAGTTTTGTCTATACCAGTAAGTTAGAGAATTATTTATGTTTTTAATTAGTGAATATAGGGCTTTTTAAATATTATTCGTTAGATATGGTAATGGAAGACTGAAAAAATATAATATTTTTTTTCAGACTGTAAATGTGTATGAACCCGCTGAACATAAATGGACTGACCATATAAATATTTAAAAATATATTCTTGGAAATAGCATGTATAATAAAAGTTTTTGTATAGATACTTTTTTTATTTATTTACTTACATAATCTGTATTGATTTAGTTGGAACCATACCAAAGATAATAAAAAACAATTTTTTCACCAATTTTCTATTTTATATTATTTTTATTTAAATAGTCAATAAAAAAAACATAGTACATCTTATTGACGTCTATTGAATGTGTTGGTGGATGGTTGAGTCAATTGAAGTCCACTAATGTTGTTGAAGTCCAACATTTTCAACATTTCTTTAGTCTCTGGGTCAACTTCAATAATATCATGCTCCAAAGCAGATACTTCTGGTACGTAGTTATCACGTCTTTCACGCTCCTCTTCTTGCAATTTGATAGAAATTCCACGCACCTAAATAAATAGTAAATATAAACAAATCATCTAAAAATATTTTAATAAAAATAAGCAGTATTTGGACCAATTCTACTATGCTCTACTGTTCACACTAATCACATAATGATGTGTAATTTGGGTAGGCTAATGAAAGTATAAATCAATCCAAACCAAAAATTACCAAGAATCATGTTACAAAAATTGTGCCATGACCTTGTCCTGTTGTAGCCAAGTGGATCCCTATTATTATTTCTTGAAGCAAGATTTAACACAAATATAGGGATTCTTATGTGCAAACTTGACATGATACATATTGAATAGAGAGAAGCATCATTACATTAGAATCAGTCTGTTAAACGAAGAGAAAGATGAGAATCACACTGCATTGTTCGAATATATACTTAGAGCAACAAAAATTTATAATTCATTCCAGAAATGTATAAAAGTTGTATTAACTTTAGACTCTGAGGCATTTAAGAAATTAATTTTACATACTGAAATAAAAATGACTTTATTAATTATAACTTGATTATTACTATTAATTAAATACTATTTTGAGCATGTTTTATGTCAAAAAATGTAGTTTATAGTCCCAAACAACCTTATTGGATTTGTCAGTTTATTCCTATTGTATTGTAAAAAATTTTATTTACTTATAAATTTATTATGTCTTAGATTTGTTAAAAAAATTATTAAAAAAGAAACATTATAATTGACCCGTTAAACACATATATTAAAAAAATTAGGGGAAAATGTATCATAAGGCAGAGAAATACATAGTAGAGTGAACCACATACAAATGTTATAAGCAGTCCTTAATAATAGAACCATTAATAGCACTCACTCTTTAACTGATGCATTTAATACTAGGTTTAGACAATATTTAAATAAAATAGATCAGTACCTTGAAGGGATTGGGTAAAAAGTTTATTAAATATAAATCTTTGAAATTTTAAACAATCAAATGCTAAAAGAATAGTAACTTAAAGTTAACAGCTCTTTTGATTGTTTTTCTCCACATCTTGCTCTACACCTACACTGTCCTTTTAGTTTTTCATTTCGATGACATTCAAATATCCAAAACGTCATTGAAACGTTATTTTACTAATTTGTAGCCAAAAATACAATTTAAAATCGGAGAGGGGCTCAAAATATACATTTACCGTAGGTTGAAAATAAAAATTACTTACTTGTGAGTGCCTAAGACGTTTCATCAAATGTGTAACAAATCCGGCTATTTTGTTGCGCAGGGGCTTTGTGGGAATGATTGCTATTTCTTCACAAATGCGCTTATTTGTGTGAAAATCCAAAGTTAAGCGGGTGTAATATTTTTCAATGATAACTTTGGAAGCTTTCTTCACGGTTTTGGTACGTACGCGACCCATGTTTTCTAAAATAGGTATTAAATAAAGAGTAATTATATTCCAAATGCTCAAGTAAAATTAAAACAATTTAAAAATGTATATATCGGTAAATAAAATGTAGAAATATAATAAAAACTTACATTTACGACAATCTGAGTTCAGAAAAACGTGGTCAAAAGAAGTGACTTTGTCAAAAAGACCGTTAGGTGGCGCCGATGTCCGGCTGTCATATATCAAATAAAATGTCAACTTTGGAATCATAAGGCGGCGTAGTGTTTCCGGTTTCCAGTGACGTACTATTATAAGAGGGTAGAAAAGAGAAGTTACTGAAAACAATATTAATTTTATTATCACGTCGCTGGCTGACTATGAAACGTATTTAAAACACCGATCATGGCGGAACAGTAATTAGACGAAGACCCAACTCGTAGCGCTCGAGTCCCATCTAGACGATGGGATATATAAACTGAATTAATGGCAGGAGTAAGGGCCGATTCCACCGTTATGGTAAACGAAGTTTAAAAAAATGACATTTTTACATTAACAATGTCATTTTAATCTTAGTTTACTAATTTAAACTTCGTTTAACACAACAGTGGCATCAGCCCTTAGGTATCCAAATGGTGGAACAATAGGCCCCGGGAGGCTGGTATGCGTACCCCTAGAATTTCCAACACCGTAATTTTGACATGAAAGCTTTAGATGATAATTTTCCTAACTTCGGGCACAATTCGAAGGCACTACAATGATCTCGTCCGGTAACTAAGGACGGGGGTGTGACGTCACAGAATGAAAAATTGAAGTGATAGAAAATATTCTTCTGCGATTCTTACATTAATGTTTAAAAAATCTTATATTTTATTAATATTTAGTGGTGTTTATATTATTATTTCTGGACTTAATTAATTTAAACATTTTATGTTAGGATACGTCCTCCGAGCCGAACTCCGACCACATTTTGTTTATACCCCAAATTAATTTGAAATTTGGACATGTCTAGGTAAGATGTATTGTTGCTGTTTTTAGATACAATTTTTACAAACAAAAATCTTCAGAGGAATGAGATTGACCCTAAACTAAAATCAAAGGCTATTGGTAAGATTTTAGAATATTATTCTGCAATTATCATTTAATAGTATTAAGTTAATTGAAGCTTTGCCACCTTACATTTAGAAGCAGAGAGGATGGTTTCAATTCTTATAAGAATGAAGCACAACCGAGAGCACTTTTAAGATAAACATGGCACCTTTTTCTCAAATATCTTATCGTAAATGCTTTATAAATTTCTTTTGAACTCTCTTTAAAATGAGTTTTAACTTATTTTTACTAAAAACCCTGTAGCAAACCCCTTTTTTCAATAATATGTTCTTTTAGTAAAGCCCATTGACTTTTCTTGCTCTTGTGTTTAATGCTTTTAAAAAACCATCCTATCTGCTTTTAAATGTAGGATGGACAAACCTACAATTAATTTAATAATAGTGAATGATAATTGCAGAATAATAATCTGAAATCTTACCGTTGGTCTTTAATTTCAGTTTAGGCTCAGTTCCTTTCTTCTAATAATTTTTGTGTGTAAAAATTGTTTGCCAACAACAATACTATACAGCTCGCTCCAGACATGCTTATTAAAAATTGTAAAATATTTTAAGGTTTAAATAAAGTGTGCTCCGAGTTCAGCTCGGAGGCCGTACCCTAACCCAAAATGTCTAAAATAAACCAATCACACATTATTATTTCTCTTTATAATTCAAATAAAACGTATTTTATTTATAATTTTATGGAAATCATTACATGATTTTTCCTTGCTGCTTTGTAACTTATCTTTTAAAAAATAAAACTATTGATATTATAAAAACTCTAACACTAGGACATAGTTAATAAATAAAAATAAAAACACCACTAAATAACAAAATATTAAATTTTTTTTAAAAACTAATATACGAACCCAAGTAGAATATTTTCTGTTAATTCATGTTTTCATTTCGTGACGTCACTCAGTCCTTAGCAACAAGGATGAGGCCACCGTTTCAGTTTACGAAGCGTAGGCTTTGCGCTTACATTAAAATGTTAATAATCCTACGAACCCGGCCCAAGCCTGATCCGGGGAGCCGGAAACTGGAACCCAAGCCTGATTGAGAGAGCCTGCATATCATTTTGAAGCATTTCTGCTGCGTTCGCGAAATTTGAGCGACAAATCTAATAAAAACAAACTAAAACGCCTTTAACTTATCGTTATTTGTAATTGCTTGAAAATAGACGTTTAATAACCTAGTTGTGCATTATATGGTGATGAAAATTATAAATTAAATTATAAAAAACCTTTGTTATAACCAGATATTTCCAAATTTTCTAAATATAAGAGGATAATTTAATGTCTCCAGGATAATTCATCCATCCCGGCCCGGCGACACTGCTAGAGACGATTCCGGTCAGAAATGTCATGATATGACGTAAGTGGCAGTGACAGGTGACAGGATTACATCATTAATCTGTCATTGTCATTATACATTAGAGTAAATTTTTAAAATTTAAATATGATTTGAAGCAGACTTTGAAGTGAAAGAAAATAGTAAAATAGATTTAAAATGTCTCGGTTATTTAAATTATACGGAGAATTATGTGCCACTCATCCATGGGAAGTAATTGTTACCGTATTAACTTTTACAGTATGTTTTTTAACTATGGACAAACATCCTGCAAGTAAACCTTTTATTATACCACCTTCAAACTGCAATGGTTGCAAAGACCACTTTATAGCCGCTGATGTAATAGTGATGACAATAATAAGATGTCTTGCTATACTTTACAGCTACCATCAATTCAGAAATCTTCAAAGGTTAGGATCGAAATACATTTTAGGATTTGCAGGACTTTTTGTCGTATTTTCCAGTTTTGTTTTTATATCAGCGGTACTAAATATACTACAGATAGAAATAGTAGACTTAAAAGATGCTTTATTTTTTTTCTTATTACTGATTGATTTATCTAAAGCTGCCAAACTTGCACAATATGCTTTAAGTTCAACCAATCAACATGAAGTCAGCAAAAATATCGCTAGAGGAGTAGCTGTGCTGGGACCTACAATAACTTTAGATACAATAGTAGAGACATTGGTAATAGGAGTTGGTACATTATCAGGTGTTCAACGTTTAGAAATGCTGTCTTATTTTGCATGTCTCTCTGTTATTGTAAATTATATCATTCTATTAACTTTTTATCCAGCTTGCCTCTCCTTGATGTTAGATATAAGTAAAATTACTGATTTTTACAAAGAAGAACAAGGAGTGCTCAATAATGTTATAGTAGATGAAAAAGATAAATCAAACCCTGCAGTGCAACGTGTTAAATTGATTATGTCTATTGGATTGACTCTAGTGCATATCCACAGTCGGTGGTCGATGCCTTCAGAAGAATTAAAAGACATGGGGAACAAGACAATTTCTCAATGCACAGAAAACACAACATCTATATACAGTTATCTATTGAAACAGTTTGTTTTGAGTGCAGATCACATTGTTATTTTAATATTATTAATAACATTGATAATTAAATTTGTATATTTTGAAAGTAAGGATGATTTTGAAGAAAATGTTACTACACAAGTGTATGAGCATAGAAAGAGTATTCAAAGACAACAGAGGACTTTTTCTGCTAGTGTAGAAATACAGACTGAAAATTTTATTGATAAAGATTCAGTTGAGGAAAATATTAGTAAAAATTATCCAGTTATTAGTGATACCAAAAGGACTTTACAAGAGTGCTTGCAAATCTTGCGAGCTGATAAGGCCTATGAACTCTCAGATAAAGAAATTATTATGTTAGTAGATACAAAACATATCCCGTCATACACATTAGAAAAAGCTATAAAGAACCCAGAAAGAGGAGTGAAAATTAGGAGGGATATAATTCGAAATGTTTTGGAAGATAAGGACAGTCTGAAAAGCTTGCCATATCAAAATTATGACTACAACAAAGTCTTAGGAGCTTGCTGTGAAAATGTTTTAGGTTATGTTCCTGTACCTGTAGGAGTTGCAGGGCCCCTACTTATAGACAATAATCTCTTTTATATTCCTATGGCTACTACTGAGGGATGCTTGGTTGCAAGTACAAATAGAGGTAACTATTTGTTTAATAAATTTGTTCTAAAAATTTTGAGTTAATAATTTCATTTATTAAATAATTCTTGTTTTAATTAAAAATTACTTCATAAAGGAATATGTTATTTGGGTTTAAAAGAGATGTACTGAGATATATTAAAAAATGCACTTTTTTCAAGGTATCATTATAAAAGATTGTTTTAGGTGACCAAATTACACAGGCATATTCTATTTTAGATACCAGTCTTCTGTAGCAGCAGATTTTAATATTTTTTTGTGTTAATCACTACATTTAAGCTATCGAAAAATTACTGACGTGTCAAAGCCAACTAGAATAATTTATAAAGAATTTTATTTATTAATATCTAGGTGGACTAGGTATTCATTGTCATAGACTTTTACTTATATTCCGTTAGCAAAAAGACCCGGTTTTTACTGTATCTTGTCAGAATTGAATTCTTTTTTAAATTATAACACATTAGTAATATATGATTATAACATTCCATTTAAAATTATCAAGAAAACTTCGAAAAAATGGTTACTGTTTAAACAACGCCACCTAGTGCTCGCTTAAACAACTGAATCAGAACTATATTGAAATATTTTACTAAACAACCATTTTGCTTTTAATCGATACTAAGTTTTTCAAAACCTGATAAACAACACAGAAGTTATAATAGTTTTATTAAAATAAAGTTTCCAATCCCATTCATAAAATTTTCAGGGTAAGGCAAAAATTCGAAAGCCATGGCGAAAAATAAAAAATCACAAATCCAGGCGGTGCAATTTTGTGACGTAATTTTGGTTCCACTAACAATAAAGGTATGTAATTGGTAACTTAAAGAATGTATATTTAATGAATTTTATTTACTTACTTTAGGAATATATTTATAAAAGTTAAAAAACGATATAATTTAGGTAAACAAAATGAACGTACTCAAAAAACTACTGTCACTTTAATTGTATGTGGAACCAAAATTACATCATCACTAATTAGTAAATTCCAAACAAAATGGCTGTCGTGGAAAGGGTTGGTATATATAAGGGGTTGCGACTATGAAGACTGTTGCGACATACAATGTACTCTATATACGAGGATGGGATGAAAAGTTTCCAGCCTAACATAGAATGCAACACAATAGTGACTGAATAAGAATATATTTTTCTACATAGTCCCCTTGTAGGGTAATACATTTTACCCAACGATGTTCAAGCGATTTAATATAGTCACTGTAGTCTGATTTATCCAACTTGTCAAAATAGGCGTTTGTGGCTGCAATTGTAAATCCGTGGAAAATTTTTTGCCAGCAAGAATTTTTTTTATGTTTGGAAACAAAAGTCTGACGGGGCTAGGTCTGGCAAATACAGAGGATGGTTTAACAGTTCAAAGCCTAGCTGATGAATTTTAGCCATTACAAGAACGAACTTGTGGCAAGGTGCATTGTCCTGATGAAACAGAATTTTCTTTTTTGCCAAACCAGGGCAGACGGTACTGCCTTTTCTTTCTTTGGAACTGGTTCGTCCTTTGCCGTCCACTGTTTGGACTGTTGTTTGGTTTCAGGGGTATAATGATAAACCCATGTTTCATCAACCGTAATAAATCTACACAAAAAGTTCCCTGGATCACGTCTAAACAGTGCCAAATTCTCCTCTGAAATGGTTAGCCGCGTGAGCTTCTGATCTGACGTGAGCAAGCGCGGCATCCATCGGGCGGATAGCTTTCTCATACCTAACACTTCACACAAAATATAGTGAACTCGCTCTTTTGATATGCCCACAGCCTCAGCTAGCTCTTCCAATTTTAATCTGTGATCTTTTAGAATTAGTTTGTGAACGGTTTGCACCATTTCTTCAGAAGTTGCCGATTTTGGCCTGCCAGAAGGCAGAGCATCATCAGTGCTAGTACGACCACGTTTAAAGTCCGCTACCCAGGTTTTAAATGTGGTAAATGAAGGAGCAGATCCCCCTAGTGTAGCATCTAGTTCAGCTTTTATTTCCGTCGGCGATAATCCTTTGATATGGAAATATTTTATCAATGCTCTTATCTCGTTTTTTTCCATCTTTTAAAAGTGGCGCACTTTATAAGCTTTAAAAATACCCAGGACACAAACTACTTGACACACTCACTTTAAACTTCGAGCGTATACTGACGACAAGCAAGGCTACACAGACACGTTGGAACAGGAAAGCAAATCGGGCCTACTATAGGTTCTGTATCTCTCTGTATCCCATCCTTGTACAACACGTGTAATCATGAATACTCTATTAAATTTAAATATTTTATGTCGAACACAATGAAATAGCTATTTATGAAACCAGTTACAAAGTGTCTTATTTCATGTAACCAGTGAATATTTGCGGGACGAAATTTTTTGTTTGTTTTAAAATATGGCAATCGAAAATTTATATAATACATCCGATCACAGAAAAATTCATCCGGTTTGTAGTAGGCCTTTTCGAGCAAGAGTTTCTTAATTTGCTTTTTAAATATTTTTAACGAGTCAGCGTTCTTTAATCTTAATAATGTCGTTGTTACTCATATTAGACAATTCTCACTCCCTCAGAGTATCGTTGTATCGTCTGCAAATATGGCGAAGTATTCATTAATATTGACATTAATAATATTAACATAAATTAAAAATAAAACCGGTCCCAGAACGGATCTTCGAGGAAGCCCGCAGCGAATCGTAGCAAGCGTTGACGTTTGCTTATTGAACGAAACTTTTTGTACTTTAGTCTCCAAGTAAGACGAACCATTATTTCTCGAAATCCATATCTTTCTAGCTTACTCAGCGATATGTTGTGATTTACACAGTCAAAAGCTTTGGATAAATCACAAAACACCACAGCAGCTACCCTGTTATCATTTAAATCAAGGTATACTTTCTTTAGAACAGAAAACAACATCGGTAGTTTTTTTACATGATTGAAAACCAAACTGGGATGTAGATAGCACTCCGTGTTTTTTAAAAAAGCTTGCATTCTCATCTTAACGAATTTTTCAATAATTTTTGCCAAATTTGGTGAAAAAAAATCAGTCTATAGTAAAAGAAATCACTGAAAGAACCTGTCCAAAACAAGCCCTTCCCACTGGTAGCTATTGTTTGACAGGTCATTGGAATCCCTAATAAAGAATAACAATGAAATAAAACGCATACAAATATCAAAATTTTATACTAATTTGGTGAAAGATATTTTACTTATATAATGGGATGTCATCTCCATCCCTTTTTACATTCTATGGTTTCTATCGTCTCGTTCATACCCTGCAGCGAAGTAAAAAATTAAAAACCTTTCATAAAGAATTCCTAAAGCATACAGTAAAGTTTCCCAAGGTAACATGTTAAAATAAATATTTTTAATATTACATACATTGTCTGAACATATATAGTAGTTAGGGCTTGTACTTATCTGTTATTTTTTAATTCTTTTGCTAGGATGCAGAGCAATCGAAAGAAGCGGAATAAACAGTAGATTAATAGCAGACGGTATGACAAGAGGACCTGTAATTCGGTTTACTTCTATTATAAATGCTTCAGAAGCTCTTTTGTGGACCAAGAAAGACGAAAATTTTGCCACATTGAAACGTTCCTTCGATTCAACTAGCAGATTTGCTAGACTTAATAAGATCTCAACACATATTGCTGGTCGATATGTTTTTATTAGGTAAATTTCCATATTTCATCTCTTTTACTATATTTTCAAATTGAACATTTATTTTAGATTTGTAGCTGAAACGGGTGATGCTATGGGCATGAATATGATCTCAAAGGGTACTGAAAACGCTCTAAAAATAATGAAAGAACATTTCCCTGACATGGAGATATTGAGTCTAAGTGGAAATATCTGTACAGATAAAAAACCAGCTGCCATCAATTGGATTGAAGGTAGAGGGAAAGCGGTTGTTTGTGAATGTATTCTGTCTGCAAATGTAGTTTCGACGGTGCTAAAAACAACTACAGCTGCTATGGTGGATTTGAATATTTCCAAGAATTTAATAGGATCAGCGGTTGCGGGCAGTATAGGCAAGTGTAATAATTTTATTGTTTACAAAATTGTAGCTTATATTAGCTTATATTTTTAAGGTGGGTTTAACGCTCACGCTGCAAACATAGTCACTGCCATTTTCATAGCTACAGGTCAAGATGCCGCTCAAAATGTATCAAGCAGTAATTGCCTAACAATCATGGAGCCCTGGGGAGAAACGGGGGAAGACTTATACATATCCTGCACCATGCCTTCTATAGAAATCGGCACTATCGGAGGAGGCACTGTGCTTTCACCGCAAGCGGCTTGTTTAAAAATGCTCGGAGTACAAGGACCAAACTCGGATACTCCCGGTGAAAATGCTAAACAACTAGCGAGAATCGTTTGTGGCGCTGTGCTAGCTGGAGAGTTGTCGTTAATGGCGGCACTAGCTAGTGGTCAATTGGTTAAAAGCCATTTGAAGTATAATAGGTCGTATTCGAGCAAAGACAGTTCGAGTTTTGATTTAGCTGAAAATATTTGCGGTTCAAAAACAAAGTAGATGTGATATATATTGTATATTTTAATAAATTATTTTATTTTTATTTTACAAACATAAGCTCTTTTATTTATCCTTATAATTGTCCTACGTATTAAATTTGTTAAAGTAACTAAACACAATATTAATGATCACTTTTTATGTGCTCAGTTACTTGTATCGTTTTCCCGTTAAAATTCTGGGGCCCAAACATATAAAAAATATATATAACTAGAATCAGCTCAACTGATTCGCAATTTTTAAACACGCCAGTACAACAAAATTATTTGTTATCTGCCAGTCCTAAGCCTGGATAAAGTGTGAAGGAAAGTTATTATTAAAATTAATTATTCCAAAGAATAATATGAATTAATCAATTTAGTCGAGTTTTTATGATTTCTCTTCGATGTAGTCTCTTAATTAGTCGCAAATTAGGGCGCAAATGAGACTAATATTTTTGTTGCCATTTTTCTGGGGCGCAGTTGAGCCGAAAATGACGGTTGACGCAAATGGGCCCAAATCGACCCAACGTTTATTTTGAAGCAGGTAAAAATTACCAGAATGTGACAACCGACAAATGTTGGTCACATGAAGTTTGTTTAAATTCATTCCAAAGTCGGCTTTACGTAATACAGTCAACGTTAAGCTCCATTTGTTAAAATGAAATAGGCGTGTTAAGTCAATGGTTACCTCAAAATTAAGTCACAAGCAACTGCAACTATTAGCAAAGTTTAAGTGTAATATCCAAGTTTTGACTGTCAGAATAAAATGTGGCAGCCGGTTTCGCTCGGAGTGGAGAAGGCGTGGTTAGTTTAATACCAAATTTACATTATACAAAACAATATTCTTGGGCGCCAGTTCGTTTTGAAGTGACTGAGTGAGCCGGATGACTCAACGGCGTTAACTTCTGACCCTAAATAGGTTCAGAAAAATATCACGAATCGATTTTAAATTAGTGAAATGGTGCAAGGTAAGCCTTCTTTCACTAAATTAAAATTTTGATATTTTTCTTTTGATACAATTATTTAACAAAGGGATATGTCGTACTTAAATAGCCAAATTATTTAATTACCTCCTTTTGTATAGTCCATTAAATTATTGACACGTTGTGCCATTTATTACACAAACACATTTAATTGGCACCGTAACTAGGCCGAGGAGGTATGCCAGACTCGGCCCGATATACGGATGCAGCTTCGGCATATAGGTAGGGCATGTCTACCCAGCCGAATGTTGGCAACCCACTACATTGTTGCCTCGTTCATATATCTATATATCTGTACCTCGGAGCCAGACTAGGTTAAGTCCAAATAGGCCAAATTTTAGATAAATATGATAAGTGACTAATTTTTGCGGCGCATCGTTTGGTATTTTCCATTTTGGCGTATCGTTTAAAATAACAAATATAGCTCATTTTTAACTGTGCTAAACCCACAGTCTTAAATGAATATATTAAAAATGCTCCCCTTAAGTTTTTGGAGTTACCAAACTCTGGCTCTGGGGTACAGATATATAATTCGGCCCGTGAGGATGCCTCCCGTGTCCGGCTAGCCAAATATTCACCGCGTTCGGCCCGTAAGGATGCTCCCCATGTCTGGAAAGCTAAATATGGACCACATGCGGTTTCTACTTCTAAATTACGTCAAATATTATGATCCTCTCGGCTCAGAAGCAACCCCGACAATGGCAATCCGAGTACTCGGCTTCCCATACATGCAGATGTCAGGCCGAGCGAATGCTGGCTTACCTTTGGCCGCATTAGACCATCATACGAAGAAAGGTTAGAAATGGGAAATCTTATAAACATTCCAACAGAGACGACGTCTTCGCGGTGACCTAATTTTGTCGTTTCGAATAATAACAGAACTTTGGCGACCTTAATCAAGCTTTTCCTGTAAATACTTCTAAATACTGACTCCCGACTTCGTATACATTCGCTAAAACTACAGAAAGAAAACTTCAAAACAAGAGCGAGACAATATTTTCTGAGTAACAGAATCTTCGAAGTCTGGAACAAACTGCCCCAAGAAATTATAGATTCCCAAAGTGTCGATATTTACAAAAACAATATAGACAGGCATATTTTTCACAATTCATAATTACGATATATTTTTGGATTTATCACCTGAACAATGTTCGAACTTACGTATGCATGTAGCTCATTTTCGAATTTATTTTAAAATCATTTCTTGATTTACTAGTTTTAACCATAGGTTAATTAATTTGCTCTTTTTTTACTGGGCACAATAGGACACCGTCCTCTGCCTTTATTGTAATATTAATATTTGTGGTTTACTAGGTATAATCGGAGTTTTCGGTATTTTATTCTCGCCAGGTGACTACAGAATCAGGCGGGAACCCCAGAGGATTTTGTACCTCAGAAGATAAGGTATTCAATAGTTTTCACTTAAATTATTACATGTTTAAATATATTGAGTTGTTGAACGTTCACCTCTTTTATTGTCTTATGTGTGTTACGAGAAGAACACCTTAGTCCACCTACCTAATCAAATCCAAGATCCGAGTTTTGAATAATTGTTCTGGTGGCCCTATCTAATCTATACACATAAATCTTGGTGGGATATCTCGGTCTGTGAAGTATTTGTTCTCCTTTTACCTGTCAAAAGGCACTCCGGGCACCTTTGTAAAACCTCAGCGAAACTACCCCCAAATTAAGGACTACAGGTGCCTTTAACCAGTTTTCCATACCTTTTTTTTAACCCCTCGAACATTAGTTCATCAAGGGGATAATTCTTCTGATTAAATAACTTTTCCTCTTATTTTATTATTTTTTTACGGTATGAATGGATAAGTTCAAGACTGTGACGGTGACATCCAAAAATATAAAGAAACTGGTCAGCTGTTTTCTTCTGCTCAGCTACGATGTAGGAAATGTTAGTTAATCCCAATATACTGACTGTAGACGAAACGACCATCTGAATCTCATACAAAAATCAAAGTACAGCAACAAAACATTTGTAGGAGTGGAGCAAAATAACATACTTACCTTTTTATTAAGCAAATATCTTAATTGCTGTTGAATCTATACAAGAAGCGTTAGATGTTGAGGAAAAACATAAATTTAATTTTTTCTATCTCTATTTAATTTTAAACTGTTAGCTAAAAACTATGTATTTGAAAATTCTTCTATATTCTTAGTTAAAATTTGTAGTTTCATGTTTTAAGAGGTATCGTCAGCAAATAATACAAAACTAGTTGGTAACATATAATTGACATTTAGGTGTATCATGAATAATAAAGGTCCCGTGACTGAACCTTGTGGAACACTGTGTTTTTTTAATCCAGAGATATAGTGCCTGGTATCGATTGGTTAGACATGATTTAATAATATGCCAAAGGAGTACCTCGCACAACTTAGAAATATAGTTTTTCTAGCAGTAAGTGTTAAGAGATGCAGTCGAAGGCTTTGAATAGATCACATAGGGAATTTGCAGTATGATTATATATCTTTCCCAAGACCCTCAACTACATTACTAACGACGTGTATATAACAAATTAAATCTATATAATTGAAATAAAAAAAGAGTTTATTTTGCAAAACTTTATTTGTTTGTCTTTATAATTCTTATTAGGAAGAGGGTAGGGAAGAGGGAGGAGGATGAGGAGTAAGAATAATCCATTAAACAATATCGGCGTAATCATTCTAATTATTTTGCCTTGGTCTGAAAGTTTTGTTAGAGAACTTAATAACAACATCTTGAACTCTCATATTGGGGGTAAGGAACTGCCGTAAGGTGTCAACTCCAGTCCTAGGCTGTCTGTCGAATGGGAATCCCATGGAACGACGATCTGGGTACAATCTATCCTTGATACCACAGAAACTATCGGCGTCGTTGCAAATACCAGAAACGTCTTGGTCAACCTGAAATTAAATTAAAGAAAAGCAATAATACGAGTACAGTAAAAGGTTAATTAAAGAACGTCCATTTGAGATGTCAGACTTCCCAAAAACAAAGAATGCTGGAAACCTGGGAAAAATAAGAATTATATACTTACTCTATCGTCATCAAAGTTAGAAATCATGACGAACAGTTCAGCTCTGAATCCAGGACTGTCCGTGTTACCCCTTGGGATGAGCATGTGTTGCGGCCAACCGCAACCACAGAAATTAAATCCAGCAAGATCGTCACCTCCTTGTGGCCTGGATGTGTCTAAGTCACGGAATGTCCTTTCGAATGGAATGGTCACTGAAGAGTCAGTTGAAGCTCGCATAATTGTATTCTGTCCTTGTTTCACTATAAAACAAAATGGTATCACTCAGTAATATATTATTTATATTTTAAAATAAGGTATTAGGTATTACTTTTTATGATTTCCGCTTTTAAAAGGTAGATCCAATGTTTTTATTTAAGTAACCCCTCTTATACGAACATCTGCAGCTTTAATAACCAGCGTCCAATTTAAGGCTCAAAGAGGACCACATTTGTCGCAAAAGGAACAATGCATACCGTATTGTATTAGATATCATTAGATGATTGAAGATCGTGAAGTCTTACACACCACGACCTTTTCAGATATTATGAATTCATGACAGTACTTTGTCTAGTAAACTAAGAAGTAGCTCATGTGTAGCTAATTTCCCTTGGATTTTCTTGTCAAAATATTAAGAATATCAGTCTTGATAGATCTTCGCAGAGACATAATACTTTTAGTACAATTTCCGCCTTGGCAGAATCTAACAAGCCCGTTGTACATATTATATCTGGTAAGACTGCAGTGCCTTATTGATCCTTCTGAGTTTTTTTGGCCTATTTGTCCTGGTGAGATGTTTAACCAGTCCTGAGTTTTATTTTTGGGGTTGGCTCAGAGGGGTTCTAGAACCTTTAAGGAGCCTCTTCAGGCTAGTATACTCACCTGTTCACTGTTCTTATGCCAGCTGTGCCTAGTTTCTAGACTAATATTATATTGTCTATTTTGACTACCCAACTGTAATAGGGAGCATCCAGGAGTGCCACACAAGCTTTGATTGATAGCAAAATATTATTTTTTTAGTCTGTACCATGAATATTGAGAATATCAGTGTCTAGATGTGAGTAAAGAAGTATCTAGTTT